GATAAATCACCGTTAAAGTATTTTCTTACAAATCGTTCAACACTTATGTCTTGCGTTACGACATATATCATTTTCGACTGTAACGTTTTAAGTATTTCCTGCTGTAATGTTTTAAAATAATCACAAGTATATTATAATGAAATTACACCAACTGCTTGTGTACGTATAATTTGTTTGTATCGACTAGACATACAGTACAACCTGTAGGATTTAACCCCTTCATAAATCCTCAAGTGTGATACAATAACTTATAATGCGATTTGTCCGCCTTAATACCCCGTATAGGCGTATTGTAAGAAAGCAATATGTAAATGAAAGTAGTTTAGTCTAATAGGATCTTTGTAATTTATGGACTTATAGACAGGTTCACAAATACAGCAGAATATATACAAATATGCAGTCTATTTTAAAAGAATTGCTTTTTGAACGCTTCGAAATATAAAGGGAATATTTTTGCACAGTGCAGATAATATTTAATAATCTGGCTTCCGTTCTATTCCATTGATGGGATGTTTTCCTCAGTTTTAATTTTGTTTCCGTCTACCTGCTGTGGAAAATTGAGATGCACTCCTCTTTACCAAGTAAAGATTATGTCATTATATCATGTTATATATGCAACGAGGTCTATTACTTGTCCTGTGATATATAATGTTTGGTAACAAAGAGTTCCCGATTGCCCTATGTAGTGTATACAGTACCTCCAATATTTATTATTTATCCATCAACTATATAAATATACATAATATTACTCTCTCCTCGTATCTAAACATTCCACATACTTTGTCCTCCCTAATACCGTCACAAATGGAGTGTACTTGACTACAGGCTGTCGATTTAATGTCGGCGAGCATTTGTGTTACAATTGATTTAAACGCAAACAATTAATTAGGCATGCTGAAATCAATTCTGTCTTTTAGTCTGAGTATTGTGATTTGGTTTTGGAAACCCCACTGGCAGTTTCAGAGAGACCATCTACACAAGTAGTTTGAATAGAATAACATCGCGGGATTTGTAAATAAATTTGCTGTATAAATAAAACATTGTGATATTAACATTTGTACATTTATTCACACACACATATATACATAATCTTTAATCCAATAAAAAAACGCAAACGTGAGAATTTAAAACTAGGATCAAGTTCAAACTAAGAAGATTGCTCGTTTTATTTTGCTGGCTTCGTTCACGTTTTTATCAGCTTGCATACAATACAGCATACTTCAATCCATATTGGAATACAATAGGATAGGAAACCGGTGTTAGCTATTGTTAACTCCTTTTATTAAACTATTGATATTTTCTGAAACAATATATCTTACTAGTGCAGTAGAACCTTCGCGTTCCATACTTTTATCAATACTGACACAATAAGTCTATATTGCATGATTAAACATACCATAGTACAACACTCAACACGTGTGTAGTTGTGTTGGAGTCTAACAAATATATCACGGTAATGATTGCATGCTTCATTTATTCTACCTTTATCAACCTTAAAAATCAGATATAATCCTATCATAAAAATATAACCACGAAGTGAATGACAGATTAGTGATTCTAGATTACTAACTTAGGATTTAGTTTAAATAAACATAACTGGTTCATATGCTAATCTATTAATATTGCTTAATCCAATGTCATATATTTTTTCTTATTTAGAGATATTTACTATTAGGTAAGATCATTCCCTACGAAACAAAATATTCAGGCTTTCGATAAAATTATTATTAAGACATTTTTCGGAATGACGACAAAACTATCATTTCAATATTTTCACAAAAAAATATGAGACACAAACTCCATTTTGACTTATTACTGTACGATAATTCACTATGAAATTCAATATTTAATTTGAAATTTTCATAATTAATAATTAGTTAGATATAATGTTCTTATTGTTTAGTCTTCACTTAAAAAATATATCGATATTGTATCTTCTTTTTGTATACATTATCTTCGGATAAAATCCGTCGTTCCTCCAATCATATCATCGTGTTATGTACAGCACGTATTTCCTTAGTACACCACTCAAACATGTTTACATGTAAACAATAAAGATAGGATATATGTTGTTTTTATAACATCTAACCCGGAACAATGGGGATATTTATGTCAATGAATGTTCCATGATTGGTCACTCTTGTTTACAATAAAAACCATTACACCATAACATTACCGAGAGTGGGTTTTCGCAAACAATGTCTAGACATGTCTTTTGTAAGTGTTATTCCGTAAAGTACTGTATCATGATTTATATTTGATTCATTCAAACGTGTTCATGAAGAAACTCGTTAACAATGATTTTGACAAAAATGAGATGCATATTCTTTTCTTCTTCTTACCTTTTATCTGTGCAGTTAATTAGGAAATGAAATACTTCTGGTAAGGAAGTGACGCTATTCTTAACAATTCAGATTAAAATTCAATTGAGTTGAAGCAATAAGGAAATACCCGCTCTCTAAACTCACCCTGACAGCTCGTTATCTAACAGTTGAAAACTCCATATAATACCTCTACAGACATGCTTTGACTGATAGGGGTAATCGTTTCACTTTATACCTGCGGGTAATAAATTCCGAGATGACCCTGACGAGAGAGCGTTATTGGGTAGAAGTCAAATAAATCTCTTTATCCCCGCTATCGATTTCAAATCACGAACGGCAGGGTGTGAAATTAGCCCTGGAGACCCCTGCTGGCAAAACATCTATAAAACTAGGTCTGATACACGTTCGTAGTGAGTGTTATGTAAACCTGTAAAAGGAAGGGTGTTAGTGACAAAGAAAGGACGGGACTCCGACAGGTAAATATCGCACGTAAGTTTCTGTCGTACCTGTAAAGCAGAGTACCGCACCTTTGCTACATTTACGGATGTTTAACATGTATTTCACTTTAAATAATACCATTTTGATATCCGTACCACTTAAGATGTGCATTTATTTCAGAAAAGACGGAGCACAATTGACGGTGATAGTACAAAACAATATTATTGGAAACTTAATGAATCTGTAGATTTTATAAAATGACGAGAGTAAATATATAAATGCATTGTATGAAAAGTGTGTGTGTGTGTGTGTGTGTGTGTGTATCAAACTGCATTAAACTTGGCAAATGTGTGTATACATGCATAATAACTGGCGACTGTACATTCTGTATGTATACATGCATTATTTGACGATAGCGTGTGGAAACATTAACACGGGTTATCTACTTTCGATCCACTAAGGGTATGTGAGTGGGAACCAACAACAGCAATGTGTAAGTCGTACACCTCATCATCGTTTATTTATCTAGTGTAATTTTCGTATACTTTGTAAATGTACACGCAACTGTTTCACAATATACGAACACAGGTATTTCCTAACTTGGTGAAGTATTTTTAGATATCAATTTCGTTACTGGGAAGTTTGATGCTATAGCACACAGTGAACTTAAATTTGCATAAGACCTGCTTTTTAGGATATATGGTATGACATTACATATTATATACAGAATAACAGAGTAGTTTTGTTGTAGTGAAACATTCTCAGCAGTACCCATTAATTTCATATATTGCTTTATGGCAAGTGCAGCAAACCTTAACATTCGAGAAAGGACGCTTTGGAGTCTAATCATATAAGGGGTGTGGGGTGGGGATAGGGGGGACGAATGCCGCATTTTTCATTAATCATAATGTAACAAACTTCTATCAAATACGTAAGTGAATAAAATTATATATTCATATTAGTAAATACCCCATACAATATCCCTACTCAATCGACAATTATATTCCCTGATTAAAACACCTGCTATTTACGCTTTTGTCACACCTGGGTGGTATAACACACATACACGTTTGTTGGGAGTCTCTCCTTATTATAAAAACTACAAAGATGGGTGTTGTGTACATTATGATCGAACTGTATACTTAAAGCATCAATTGTACGCATACAAAATGTGTCATTAATTCATCATAAATCACACAATATCCCCATTGGCTTACTAACAACGTTTGTTTATATCAAAACTGAACTAATATAGTAATACAGATAACAATAAAACAAGTAGCTGCTCAGTATACCAGCCATCCCTCCATGTCAATAACACTCTACGAGCATATCGAATATTTCCTATACAAACACGAGATAAATAGACACATATTACCAAATCCACTGGAGGAGGCCTGATTCTCTAGGCTTACATTGACAACATAAATGTTCTCATTATCCGTTAGAAAGACTGGACCAGATGATTTAGAAGTCGTGACAACCAAAAGCTCAAATTCACTTATTCTTACCATCAGATATAAATCAATATTGACTAACCTCAAATGAAAACCTTCCCTGATAATTTCTCTAAAATATTCTCAAAATGGAATGTATGAGCAGAGTTCAGCTGGATTATGGAAACCAGAAAATGACATTGACAAGAAACTATTTATAATATTATTTGATAACCTGTGTGGTCCGATAGCAATGTTCTTGCTATCGGTACTCTTCTATCACACCATCGATTACTTTGTGGGAATGAAGTCTACAACACAGCCGTATAGCTAATTCCCTACTCATTTCCGGTAACAAATGATCCTACCGTCTGCTACATTGACATAAATTCGATAGTATTTCCAAACCGACAGCAACTCCCGACAAAACATCAGCAGGTAGGTCAGACGTGCTATGCATGCACACAAAATCTACAGAACGGATATATTTCTGACATTTTCGGACATACTTTGCTTAAATAACCTCTTTTTCAGTGGTGACATGTAACTCTTTGCACTGGTTGGATATTGATTAGCTCAATAAATATCTGTTATAAACGAACTATTTCGAAACTGTTGGTGTTAGGATGTTTATATTTTGCCACCAGCATTTGACCTGTGTGGTAAAAAGCAGAACTGGTGCCCGTTGTTTCCTTGATTTGAACATGCTATACCCATTTTTCAACTTAAATAGATATATTAGTCAACATTATGACATGATCAAACATACTTTAAAATTGTCGGTGTTGCTTTATCGTTTCAGGCTGTACAGACTGAAGTCTTTGTCTGTGGGATAGGGCCATCTTCCCATCGTGACTATGAAGAAACCGCCTGCCTCAGACAACAAGGAAAATGCTCATAAACCAGACACAAAGAGTAGCGGTAACGACAGGAAGAAATCAGAAGCTAGTTCTCCCGACTCTAAACGGCAGTGCATAACAGAAATTGTCTATAAGGATGTTTACCTGATGGACAGGACAGGTGGACGATTCGACAAGAACCTTCTGGCCAACAGTCTGACGGCCAAACTGAAACAAAACATTCCAGGCGAGTTTACGACAAAGACACAGTTGATGCACAAACTCCGTCGGGAAAGTTTGAAAGATTATGTTCACTTAGAAAATCTCAACAAGAAATACGATAGCGAAATGCAGGTGCAAACAAATCGCCTTGACAACGAGAGCAATCTTTTGCTTCGTAGACATGACAAAATGCGGAAACAAAGTGAATACCAAAGGAAAAACCAAGAAAAGATTCGATCTCAAATTAGGAATCCTTCTATGAAACAGCCTAATGCTGCGTCATCTGTGTTTCCTCAAATCAAATATTTTTCCCAGGCGCATGCGGCTTCCCAACCTCCAGATGCCGCCACTGTTGAGGTACATCCGTCACACCAGTTAGAAAACGCGGCAGCATTTCCGTCATTTTCGGTCGACACACATGATCCGACCAATGTGAAAGTTTTCAAATATCAAGGGATATTTCAACCACAGAACAAATATTCTAGCAGACGGAACAGTCAGAGATCGTCTGCCTCTGGTGGGATACTAAAGAGAGATATGAACACTCCAGAGTATGAAATCCTCACCCTCTCTTTAGAGGACGGTAGCGAGAGTAGAGCGTCAAATAAGAATCGAAATGACAAGAAGAGAAAAGGACTCCGTGTGACCTGGAGTGGGGTAGAAAGAGAGTTTGAAAGGGGTCGGGTTAATCATGAGGACACAGTGTCCAATGACAATGAACTCCGCGGTGATGGGGGTGCGTCTACACCCAGTACCACCAAAAGTGCAAGCAGTGGTTATGGATTACATTATCGGCAAAACAAGCGAAATAAAATCGAAAACATTGGGATAAAGTGGAAGCTACCACAAGGATCAAAACAATCCACCCGAGCTGTGAAATCAGCCACTGCCGCTTATGCCACAAACTCCCGTTCTAAAAATCTGATGCCAGTGTCGGGTGGCCTTCACCAGACTGGAATGTCTGTGACTCGCACGAGATGGCACGTGCCATCGGCGCCTCCCCTATCATCGTATGATCTTTACAGGGAGTGGCTACATAAACTCGACAAACTAAAATCACCTATGGAACCCAAGCAGTTTTTAAGGGAAGTGCCTGCTATGGACCAAAAGATGGACAGCTGTAGTCGTGGTTACACTCTTCCTGCCAATATCTCAGAGCAAATGAACTTGTCGATATACGCTGAGTCTAACGTAGTGTAGACTTTGTGAACATGTAACTTCCGGGTATTGGATTAAGGAATTTCTCCTCTGTGATACCTATTTATCGTGATAGGCACATTATGGTTCTAGGGTATGAAATGAAATAACATTTTTTGTAATATTTTAACACAAATGCTGTTTTACAATATTGTTTCCATTTGTTTCAAAGCCTAGCTACTGTCACGACTAGTTAACGCTTATTTATTTGTATTTTAGTTTATTTTCAATATTATTGATATTCATAAATGTAAGCTGATGATTACAAATTAAAAATGCTAAATTTGTCAAATACATACAACAAAGTAAACTACATATGTCATGAACAAATAGCTACTCATCTCAAATATATACGTCAAAATCAGCTACCGTTTCATAAAGTAATTACGTATGATAGCATATGTCCCAAAATGTAACTACTTATGTACCAAACCAAGTAACCTACCATTGTTAAATAAATACAACAAGTCAATCTGCTGATGTCAAATATATGCAACAAAGTTAGCCTCAATGTCTGACATACAGAACAACGAAATCTTCATATGTAAAATGTCTTACGTTTCCCCCCAAGTGAAACGTTTGCTTTCATAGGACGTAATATGTGTGCGTTTTATCATAGCCGTAAGGACAAGGGTATAGAGGAACACCAATAGGTGTCAAACATTTTCACCAGACACAGTCAAAGACATATGTAGATATGACGAATTATGAAATATCTTAACATGGGAAAATATCTGTACTTTCTCATCTAAAATTTAAAACATCGATCGAGGACAGCATACCATTTCATATTGTATTTTGTTTATAAGGATTCTCTAACTTATTTATAAAATAGTAATGAAAATGATGTCTTTATCTATGTAAACCAGAATGTTTTTTAACTAATTTTTTCCAATGATGTGTTAGAGAGACCGATAACATGTCATACAAGTTTGCAATATTGCTACGGCCGTCTTGATTGGCTGATCTGAATTCGTATCGTATTGAAAATAATGTAACTGTGTATATAATTATGTATGTAACATTAAATGAAAACAGGATTTAATGATGTTTTGCATAAATTAAGTCTATTGAATATAAACGTATATAAAGGGCGATACCGGTCCTTTAATTGAAGGTAATTGGAAGTCTTAATGTTATATATAGTTAACGCTGGAACATGAAAATAATGAAATAAACATAATGTTTATTTGTTTATATGTACTTATTGTTGTGTTTCTGTACTGATACAAGTGCATATTAAGGAAACGTTAGACATTACAGTTCCTTTATAAAAATACAGAAATGTTTAACGATCCTAAACCCTTTAATGTCGTATCTTCAAATCGCATACGTAGTCTCAAACCAAATCAGAGTTATTGTAAAATTAATCGCAGCCATCCGAGACCATAGCAGATATCTATATGATGGCGATATAGTTTAATAGAAAATTACTAGTTTACCTTCAGTGAAAATCATATACACCAAGACATCATACAAGCGTTTTAAACTATTATGTTTAAATGAAGCTGTGTTTCCAACACATGTTGATGTTTAATCTGAACAAATCTGCTAGCACACACATTCAATGTTTTAACATAGAAATACAGGTAAAGCGTTACAAAGCTTTATGTTAATATTTGTACTCTGTCGTGTAGTGAAACGAACCCCAGAAATGTTACAATGTACACTCCCAGACTGTATACATAAGTGGAGCTAGCAAGCAAACATAACCAGGTGGTATTTTTCTTAAAAGAACGATGGCATGCTGAGATTTCCAAAATGAGTGTATATACGTCATACGCCTACAGCCGTACTTTAATTCCATTTATTTACATATGTATTCCAATATACTTTTTTTCTGATATATTCAATAGCTGATAAACCTTCAAAAAACATTATTGATACTTTCAGAATGCATTTGTTTAATGTATTTCGTTATGTTATAGACGTGATAGTCAACACCTTTTAGTGTCAGGAATAAACTTATGAATCAATCTGCATTTTATTTTGTATCTACCTGTTTAAACTGAAATAAACCCAACATTTACATGCACTATAGATACCATGCACTATAGATATGCTATCCTTTAATGGGGTTCTACTGATCTGTAAGGAGATACCTGTTGGTTGTCAAGCTTAACCAACTATACACAACGGTAGACCTGCATACCTTACATTAACGGATCATTTCCAAAAGATTTCCAGATACAGAAAAACCCTGTTGACGTTTTAGACGTCACATTGGATGGACATCAATATATCATATATGTTCTCTCGTGAACCGGTAACGACACGCTGTCAACTAATGTAAAGCTATGTGGTATATACGCTACAAAAGGCACGTGATTTCATCCACAAATGTGTATTACCGTTAATTTCCTTAGCCGCCATGACGGGTACACATGTGAGTCAATCGTCATAGAAAATGTTGTCTGTTAAGTATGATTCCAGCGGTCTAACAGGAATTTATAAACACATAGCACTTTATAATTACATTTGGAAACTAGAAATGTTTTGTAACACACATATGTCCCGTTCCCTCACTTAAAATTAAAGCAAGGCCACAGTGGTCAAATCAAAGGTCAAGGGTCAATGATACTAAAATTAATGCAATTTGTTGTGCTCATTAAGAAGCATGAGCATGGAAACCGCGTGACCCTAGCTCTATCACTTTGTCCACAACTGCTCTAAGTGCAAAAACTTATTCAAGGTCATAGAGGTCAAGGTAGCAAACGTATTGTGCATCATGTTCTCCTCATATAGGTACATAAGCACATCCATTTGCATTGGACTAGCTGTTGTATTTAGTCAATAGTTCGCCCAATACCGAATACTACACCGACCAGACGTACGGACGGACGGACGTACATAAGTACGGAAAAGGTAACATTATATGCACCACATGGTTGGGGGTAACTAAACCTGTAAGTGTCAACAAAGAAAGAAAAACTGTGAAGTCTACATGGAAGGACAAACTCAGGGACCAAGGAGACACTAAACAATAGGCATCTTAATAACACTCTCTTACTAATACCACTAAACTATAGACGTCATAATTGCCCTCTTCTCGATCATTACCATCCCCAAACAAGGAAACAACGATATACAGACATCATTCATAATAGCTCTAACTACTACCATAACCAAACAAGGATACACCACTAAACAATAGATATAATAGTTGTCTCCACAACCCCTAACACTACCACAATTACCTCAAAACAATCCCATTCGAAAAATAGATGTACGTTTGGACTGATGGACACAAAAACACAAATAGATAAGCTTCATCATTATGCCAATATGGATGTTTAATATTTATATTAGATATTAATTAGTAACGCTGACACAACAATTGTTTACCTTATTGCTTCAGTCTTAAGTACATCGATAATGAACATACTATTAGATAAAAAAAAATACCGTTAGTTATCAGTTAATCATCGGTCATAGATATGCTGAAACCAGCTTACTTTTCTATGTAATACAAAACGGAAAAATAAAGCCTTAACTCATTATGTTACAAAAGTGGTGAAAGGGAAAAACAACACCTTGTATGCATTTTACCGTCAACTCATTTTTGATGTTTGATTGTTAATAGAGATAAAATCTTTATACTGAGGGAACAAAATACAGAAGGGGAAACAACTCCTACAATAGTTAGCGAATCGCACCAAAGCCTATGTTACCATCACGTCAGTAGACAGCCACACAGACCTTAAAGAGGGGCCTTTGAAAAGCATGCATGATTGAAATGGCTAAGGTGCATGAAATATCGTCCCGACTAGTGTAATTTTTTTCAAGAGTTACCAACAATAGAAACCCAGTCAAGATTAAGTGTCACATGAGGTCCGGATAGCACCTTATCACTCTCGTATGGGACGCTCATCTATCAAGTACGTACAGACAGGGAGTACATGTTCAATTCCATGATCGGACGTGAGAAGATATAGGGTCACCTGCCTGACCACGTGGGTTTTCTCCGAGTACTTCGGTTTCCTTCCACATTAAGACCTCCGTGCAATAACTTTCGGGCCAAACAAGAGTAATTAGTATAAGTTGAAATAACTTGTTTCATAATTATTGTAAACGAAGTAAAGTTAGTATAATATATTAAGATACTAGCATATAGAGACCACTCATGCAAATGCTAGAATATGCATTCTTCGTATGGAATCACTAAACTCAACATAACTTCAACAGCATTTAAAAAAACTTAGAGAACAATTGCGAGATATGCCATGAACTGACCTCGATTTAGGTCCAGCGTCTCGACTATTATTCAAGAGCTTATAGTTTGAAATCATCACAAGAATTCTAGAATAATGCTGTACGAGATGGATAGAGGAATAGTCCCAATCAATAAAGAAAACAATTACCAACATTGCTCGCCAGACAACACTTGAAAAATAAGCTACCAACGAGAAGGAATGATGCAGAAAACGTTCGAGATCGGAATGCCTTACCGACAGATGTCATTCAGGCAGTCATACGCGACAGCTAGATTGCTGCAGCGCTGAACCAGACCGGCATATGTTTTTTTCATTTTTTAACTTACAAACCTATTTAAAGTCTGCCAGTTTGGTTGATAGACTTGCTTACTCGTAAACATTGCCGAAACATCAACTTGAAGTACATGTAATTACAGGAACAAGAAGACTTACCTGTTTTACTATTAAATGTTTATTTGGATTTTAGTCGCGTTTCGATTACCTCCCTTCCTATATTTGGTAAGTCGTCGGAAAAGTGACAGCATACTAGATAACCAGTAACGATGAAAGACGGTCCTTATGTGCATCAAACCTGCCCAAGTGAACGAAATGATATCTTCATCAGAAGAAACCTATATCTTCATATGGATTCTTTTCTTAATTAAAAACCTGTTTTCTATGTAACAAAAACAACGTTAGTTTTATGAAACACTTCCTTATTAAAACACGTTGGAGTATCCAGTTGATCACGATATTAACAATAAAATTAATTGACTTTAAAGTTCTACCTTATCATATTTCATAATATGAAAGGGTATTTGTCTTCCAAAAATGATTCTTTACATTGCTTCCATGAACGCCTTTAAAACATAAGGATTAACGCGCCATGTAATTATAGGTATTCCAATATTTAAAACACACCTGCTCGTCAAAAATAGAATTTAACAGTTAACAAACACATGAATTCGCTGTTCAAGATCAGATTGAAAATTAGATATATTCCTATCTGGAAGTTTCCCTTTCTTGATATCAACACTCCTGCTTCCCCTACTTACAGCATTAACATGTCGCAGTTGGTTCTGTCGAGATCTCGGAATATCATGACTTTCGTGATAGATGTCGACTGCTGACGGAAAAAAATACAACACAAGGCTTCAAAAGAGGCAGGCTGATGTGGACAAGTTTTACGGTTGCAATCTTGATTTTATAAGTAAATATACTATTGTCCTTGTGTAATATGAAGATCGCTTTTTTTCTTATTCATTATTGAGCTTTGTGGTTTTGTTGTCAATACCCCAGTTCTATATTACGAAAGACGTGTTATTATTTGGATTTTTACCTAGAAGTAGAACACTTTTACCCTTCCAGAACACCTGGTCTCATTCTCCTTGTCCTTTAATTATCTCCGTGTAAATCTTTCCTTTGATCACAGTTTATTTTTTTGAAATAAAAACGTGAAAATGTGATAAAATAAGTTTCCCTTTTGTATTCTACGTGAAGTTTACATGTAGGAAGAACATTTTGTTATTTTAAACGATAACACAGTGAATAAACAATTAACATTTACTATCGCATTATGTATCAGTAAATGAATGCTTCACAAGAGTTTATGAAATTTTCGCTTGTTGTTATTTGTTTTGAATAAGAATTACCATAACTTTTGTATGTTCATTACCGTATATTTTATATTAGATATTGATTATTATCAATAACTTACACAGTCAACCAGGTTATCATAAGACCATCCTGATTGTAGTGTTATGTTAGGTGTTGATGCGACATTCTTACTTTGTATTTATGTCAACGAACTATCACGAATCTATCACAATGGGGTCCTCAGGCAGAACATCTCAAGGATGTTTAAGAAATTGCAACAATCATAAAACAACGGAATTGTTTGTATATTATAATAAATTGAAATGCAACAGATTAAGATAAAGCTAATACGTGTATATTTTCTTGAAGCCCCTTTTATGTGAATAATTTCTTTGTAAGGAACTTCCTAGGATTTTACGTTCGGTAAGGTTTAGGATCATAATGGCAGAATACTGTAGGTAATCATGTTCAATTATTAATGTAAAATATTTTATAACATATATTGAAAGGGTTTGATTGTTTCTATTGGCACCTATTACTGTTAGTAAGATAAAACAACAAATAAATATATCAGCATAAAAATAGTTCACATCAAATAACGTAAGAAACCAGACAGCTGGTAAACAAGGACATTTGACCACCTGGCCTTATCAGTTTACAAAACAATTATAAATGCATTCATTAAACAATTATAAACCAATAAAAACACATTATCAGTAGCGTTTAAATAGTGACTCAGCCAGGGTTTAAAACCTCGACGGTATTTGGCTTAAAAACAATGCAATACACACAAGACAATGTAACTCCACTACGTAAGTCACCTTTTCTATTGTCTTAGGTGATATCTGTAAACAATTTAAAACAATTTTGATTGGTCAATCTGCTGGCCCGTAAAAAGTCCATAGTCATACACCAGGAGAGATTAAATGGCGACCGTCTGACAACAATCGTAGAGAATAGTATGTGATCAAAAATTAATCTTTCTGAACTCATTTTAATAGAGTTTTGTTTAAATTTGTTATAACTCAGCTTAAATATGAGTTCAATGGATGAGAGAAAGATTTGGAAGCACTGGGCTTACCTGAAGAACGAACTACCCGCCGATGAAATCGTGGACGGAATGGTCGAGGCTGGCATTTTTGCGCCTACGCAAGGGAGAGATATTCTTAGTGTTCAGCCAAACACACGGCAAATGAAAGCTGAAAAGTTTCTGAATAACTTGATTAATGCTGGAGATAAAGGTTTCGAGACGTTTTGTAACATTCTGCGACGGGACAATGAGAACCGTTACAAAGCCATCATGGAAAAGCTAGAGATAGGCGAGAATGCTGGAGGATGTTCTGGGGGAGCCGCTGCCTCTAACCTCATCAATGTACGGCCTACAAGTACAGGTGAGGGAAAACACTAGACTATATCAGATTATAAAGCAGTATGTTATAGTCGTTTTAAAATGTATCGTAGAATAATTAATATGGGAGTTAAACAGTGTGATATGAATTTTAAAAAACCCATTAAATTACAAAAGTGGAATCTATTTGGTATTTTTCGGCTTAGATATGAAATATACCAGAATACTTCTTGTGATGACGCTGTGTAAAATGTTCCATGCATTATATAATTGTATATTGATTATACTATATATAAACTTAGCAAGTCAAAGTTATGGACACATTAAGCAATAAACGACTGAGCTATAAGAATGATTAAGACAGCTGAATACTGTAGTTAACTCAATCAGCCACCAGAATACAAAATATTGAATCTATCGAATACATTATATGCTAGGATCCTTATCAATTCTTGTGACATTATTACATTTCCTTATTCGTATTAACATAAAAATATTTAAAAGTGTAAAACAAATTGTGATATGGAAATCAAATATGTCTCCAAGAAATTATTTATTCTTGTACTTGAAACGTTTATCATCATGTGCAAAAACACCCTATATGAATTATATCACATTTTGTAGTAAGAAGTTATTTGATATTTTTGTATTATTTTGTATATATATCCTATGATAAGACATAGATATTTTTGTATTATTTTGTATATATATCCTATGATAAGACATAGATCGTTTCCCTAGTTCTCAAGTTTCCTAAAGTTTATACCGCACTAACTTTTTTTGTTCGTGACACAGAAACAAATTATTATTCGGAACATATCGGAACTCGCCGTAGACATAACTTTTATAGGACAAGTATATAACATGTTTGGACATTAAAGGGAGTTAATCTGTACTGATATAGAACACAACACAGACAATGGTTTGTACGTACACTCTCAGCAGTCATATTGTAGGACAAATAGCATCATGGTAAGCATTTGCTGGCCTCGAAACACATCTTCCTCAGATTCATATATAAATAATATTTTTGGTAACATTTTCTTAATTATGAATATTAATTTGTCAAATTCAAATACAAACCAAATTGAGTTTCATATTATTGAATGCCTGATGCCTGTTTTCTTTGTTTCAGCTGCTCCCGTTGACAACACGAGGCCGGACTCGGGCAGGTCGGGGTCTCAGAGGCCTATCTCAAGCATGTCTTCCTCTGTAAGTTAGTATGGAATGTCTTACCGAGAAAGTAATATATATATATATATTAACAATTCCGTGTAAACTGTGCTAATATCCTTTATAAAACAAACTGCTTTTAGTAATTTAAAAAAAAAAAGTATAATTCATACTACAATATGTGTCTTTGAAAATGTTCAGTTTGACAAGTAAGCAACTATAGTTTCTTAAGAAATTTCGTTTATATTTTATTTTATATTCTCACATTAATTGTATACTAAACAAAAGTGTAATTGTGTATTGAATTTGGAAAAAAATATTGGCATTGAATTTGGAAAAATTATTGGCATTATTAATACGATAAGACACGTATTTTGTATTCCTACGATTTAACATGGATATTTGTGATCAGTTAAACTCTTATACTCCTTGTCGAATCAAGCATGAACTACGGTATAGTGATAACATGTAATAATAGATAACTATTATGACGTTTGATGTAGGATATAAAAAAATAATATACAATTTCGTAAGCATAAAAGGTAACGTCAACAATAAATCATAGCGTCAAGAATAAACCACAACGTCATCATAGACCAAAGTGTAAATAACAAACCTTCGCGTCGACATAGACAATAGTGTCAGCATTTACAATAGACCATACCGTCATTATTAACAATAAACCACAACATCATCATAGACCAAAGTGTAAATAACAAACCTTAACGTCGACATAGACAATAGTGTCAACATTTACAATAGACCATACCGTCTTTATTAACAATAAACCACAATGTCATCGTAGACCATAGTGTCAATACTAAACCATGGTGTCAACATAGACCATAACGTCAACATTATCAATAGACCATAACGTCAACATTAGCCAAAGCGTCAACATAGAACATACCGTGAACATTATCAATAGACCATAACGTCAACATAAACCAAAACGTCATCATATACCATAGAGTTAACATAGACCATACCAATTAACCACAACATCAACATAAACCATAGCGTCAATAATAAAAAGTAATATTAACAATAACCATAACGTCAACTCACATGTGAAGAGCATTTTATTGAGAGACTGGATTTTATTATTCCTTTTATACTTTGACATATACATTTGAAGCTATGCATATTTAACGCATAATAGAAGATGGATACCATTGGTATTTAAAATATACCAACTTTATTCTAAAAAGCAGTGTTCCTTTCAAAAAAACTACAATAAGCCATCAAAATATGTCATATATTCCACTCATGTTTAATAAATAAGAGGAATATGGATCTCCTGATAGTAGTGTTTTGTTCTCTTTGTTAGAGTGCCAGTACAGATATCAGTATGCCAAGCAGAGATGGTGAAACAGGAGAAAAGAACCAACGAAGGGGTAAATCGGCCGCGCGTCGTGCATGGAGGTCCGAATCCTCTGCCAGCGAATCATTTCCACCGACTAATCAAGTTCCACCAAACAATGCAGTCGCTCCATACGGAGGGCTAGCTCGGGCACCAAGCACAGGAGAGGCAATCATCACACAATCAAGAAATTCTGATTATGAGGAACGCTCAAATATGGCAGCTCCCGGGGGTCATCCCTCTGGTGCTTCGGGTTCGGATAATTCCCAGGCAACAGCACCGGAAACACCCGGTGTCGACATGAAAGCGCTGGAGCAGGAATTGGTGCGCATCGCACCAACGATTGCAGAACTCTTCCAGAAGTTTGCAATGACAACATGCAAGGACCCCGTGAGCGAAGAGGAAATTCAGAACGTCAAGGCAGAAAACGAGCGTCTGCGAAAAACTAACCGTGCACTCATTGACAAACTGAACTCATTCCAACACAGGATCATACAGCTCCAATTGGAAAACAAAAAGCTAAGAGAAGAGGGAGAGGGTGTGATGGAAGCTAAAGACGAGCTAGACAGGAAAGAGTTTGAACTAAAAGATCTGGAAAAGAGACTTGAAGAACAGAAACAGGCACTGGAAGAGAAGGAATTGGAACTCAACAACCAGCTGATGAAAATTCAGGACATCGAAAATGACATCGCCAGGCAAAAGGAACAAATTAAAAAGTTGGAGACGCTTCATGAGGAGGGGCAACTAGACAATGAACGCCAACAAGAGGAAATTCTAATACTTAGGGAGGACAAGAAAAAACAACAGCAACAGATACTGAAGCTGGAATTCAAACAGAGGGTGGGAGAGGAACGCCTCCAGAGCCTAGACTCCAGGATGAGACAGCTAGAACAACCGAAACGAAACTTCAGGAGAAGCGATCCTTCCAAGATAAAGCCAAGACGGCCCCTAGGGATGTTTTATAACTGAGGAATCTTTGTCGATAATGATATTAAGATTGAATGAAGTGAACAAAACGAAACAAAATTGGAAACAACTGTACAAAGTAACTATATTGTGCAGTTACCGTGAAAAAGTAACCATCTACCTAGATCTACAGGTAGGAAAAGAAACAAAGTACTGCAAGAATATTGAACTGACGCGCAAGGAAAAGAAACGTATATCAGTCCTGTCTTAAATCAAATACAGACTACTTGATATATCATGTTCATATTGAAATTAATGTTGTAACACTAGGAGGATATGCTGATCAACCGTGTATAATGAGGTGAAAAGACGAAACAAGAAGCTCCCTGAACCATTGTTTATCAAACATGTATGAAAGGAGAAATGTCTATAACAGTTAAGATCTGATATTGTTATGATTTTCACTGTGGAACAAAATGTACAGTTCTTCTAAATGTTAAGATATATGAATGTTTGCTTTAAGTATTATAAGCTTATCCATTTTTTATGTCTTATTTGCGTATTTTAGACAATAAGAATTTCTTTAAAAGAAAATCCAAATGTTAAGCCCCAGATTCATTTAATAATAATTTATTGTATTAAGGCACTTAACAGTAGTGCATTCACTGAGCGAGCGTTTATGTGGAAACCGAGGTATCATAATCAATCAAACGAAATATAGATTCATTTCATTAAACAAACGATAATCTTTTATATCATATTAGAATGTGTTTCATTAGTGTCAACAATGACGCCTCGACAATCTCGCCAACCATGTCTCCAGGCCTAGGGAACGTGTCTATGCTGTGGCACGACTGGATTAGCAACGTATTTATGTATAGAAAAAGAATAAGCTTTTACCTGAAAGAATGAACGGAGAGTGGGGAAACCCAAACTAGTGGTGGCTGAATAACAAAGGCTCGTTTTTATGATGTTTCAATTGTATATTTAATTTACTCCAAGTTAGAGCATTTTCTGTATAGAGCGCATACATGTTAAATCTTATATTAATCTTTATCGTTACTAACGCCTTCTATAATTTGTAAAAAGCTCAGGCGATCTTAGTAAGTAGATCCCCACTCGTTATCTGTGTCTACGTTATACCTAGTGTATTAGGTTGAGATGACTATGGGGCCTGAAATGAGAGTGAATATCACCACATGTTACCATTGTTTACGTTAAACCTAGTGTTTTAAGGTTGAGATGAATATGGAGTCTTAAATGAGAGTAAATATATCCACCCGTAACCATTGTCTACGTTATACCTAGTGTATTAGGTTGAGATGACTTTGGGGTTTAAAATGAGAGTGAATATCACCACTCGTGACCCGTGTCTACGTTATACCTAGTGTATTAGGCTGAGATGTCTTTGGGGTTTAAAATGAGAGTGAATATCACCACTCGTTCCCCGTGTCTACGTTATACCTAGTGTATTAGGCTGAGATGTCTTTGGGGTTTAAAATGAGAGTGAATATCACCCCTCGTTACCCGTGTCTACGTTATACCTAGTGTATCAGGTTGAGATGTATTTGGGGTTTAAAATGAGAGTGAATATCACCACTCGTGACCCGTGTCTACGTTATACCTAGTGTATTAGGTTGAGATGACTTTGGGGTTTAAAATGAGAGTGAATATCACCACTCGTTACCCGTGACTACGTTATACCAAGTGTATTAGGTTGAGATGTCTCTGGGGTTTTAAATGAGAGGGAATATCACCACTCGTTACCCGTGTCTACGTTATACCTAGTGTATCAGGTTGAGATGACTCTGGGGTCTGAAATGAGAGTGAATATCACCACATGTTACCATTGTTTACGTTAAACCTAGTGTTTTAAGGTTGAGATGAATATGGAGTCTTAAATGAGAGTAAATATATCCACCCGTAACCATTGTCTACGTTATACCTAGTGTATTAGGTTGAGATGACTTTGGGGTTTAAAATGAGAGTGAATATCACCACTCGTTACCCGTGTCTACGTTATACCAAGTGTATTAGGTTGAGATGACTCTGGGGTCTGAAATGAGAGTGAATATCACCACATGTTACCCTTGTTTACGTTTAACCTAGTGTTTTAAGGCTGAGATGACTCTGGGGTCTGAAATGAGAGTGAATACCACTCGTGGCCCTCGTCTCCCTTAACATAGAGTAGCTTGTTTGAGATGAGATGACAAGAGGAATGATCTAGTTATCGAGACCACCACTCGTTAACCTTGTCTACGTTATACCCTGTGTAGCTTATTTGACCTTCACTCTACAACTTATGTATGTGAACGTGCTCAGGTTGTTTGAAACGTGACAACGACCCATTCATATATTTATATCATGTACCTATTCCCCTGACCGAAATGTTTCATTTACCGAATTTTCTTTTACAATGTATGTTTATTTGTTTGCATGCGATCTAGTTTTGAATGTTTTGTATTTTAACAGTTTTTAAGATATATCAAAACAATTGATGATTGCCTTCCTATATGGAAATGTTATAACCCTAGCACAGTTTTAGGTGTCCTGTTAAACGTGCCGACGGTACGACTCTACAGTCCAACTACCGCATTGTCTTTGTATATGTCAGCGTGTTTTATGTAAGTTCATCAGACCATTTCTTTGCTTGTTACATTTATAAGCTATGTTGTATCTACCTATCAAGCTGCGATTGAGTTCGAGCATGTAAAGTTAATAAGAATAAAACAAAAGATTTCTGTAAACAGGGTTGTTAGCTTATTTATCTCTAAGCTTTCTATGGAGGTCGGGACCCATTCGAGCACGACAAAACACCTGGGCTCACCAGACTTGGTCGAAAAATAGCATTTGTTTTTCCATTAAAAAAATATGTATACGAATATGTTATTGTTGAGAAAAAATATTAGTTTGGAAATATATCGTTCACTCCTTCCTCAAACAATTATTTTTGCTTAAGCCAGTAGGGAATATTTTGATTAAGATATTTTTTTCATAATATCACGAAGAGACCTAATTCGATGTCACAGGACACGGCATTTCTGTTCTTTTATTTACTAGAATGATTTTCGTCAACAGAAAATGCAACGTTTAATCAAAGCTCCAAACTACAGTGTTTGACATAGTCCTTTTAAAGTGAGGTTGTCGTTGACCTGTTTACTAGGACATTAATAGAGTGTAACACGGGGAACCTTCGTATTAAATTTGAGAAACATCTTTCGTCACTGCAAGTACTTCTTTAAAAAGAAGACATAGCAAACTTGTACTGAAAAAATCAAGGAATGCTGTCTGGCATCTTATCAGAATAGGATACGCACAGCATCGGACCGACGGAAACCTTCATAGACAATCTACAAAGTAGCAATACGAAGATAAAGTAAAGTAATGAGATTGCTTACATGCCAGATTAGACATAAAAATCACCCGACATGTCGTGATGAAATGTATCTGAGTACTGTGATGTGATTCGGTGCATAGTCATCATTTATTAAACTTTCTATAATTGACCATACAAAGTCCATTATTTTCTTCTCTATATCATTGTCCTTTTATAAATAAATATACCTTATAGAACTGAATTATCTAATACACTCTACCTGTCAAAGCACTATTTCATATTGAGAATATATATTAAAAATACAAACAATGTAAGTTCAAGAGTATGGAACGAACTGTGTGAATTTAAAAGATTTGGTGTTGATAAGTAGTGACCGACAGATATATTATATTTAGGTACCATCATAACGATATCCAACATTTGCCTGAATTCGTAAAAATGTTGCGCTGTTGTTATCTAGAAAAGGAATGTGATTTGAGTATTCAGGAACAATGTTGAATTATATCACAATTGATTAAGAGACGTTTTAAATGTTTTCATCGTCACTTATTTTTGCAAAAATTGCAAAAAGGATAGCCCACAACTTCAATAGGGCTGTAAACGGTAAATAGATCTCAAAATCTCAACACTATGCGGAATTGTATGTTTCACATTAAAGTAAAAACTCATACCTGTACATTTTTTGCTAAACATGTAGTGTTGAGCGAAAACACATTTTCTTAAAAACAGTTCTCGCTTTATAACTGTGAAACAATGTTATTTAATTAGAGATTAATGATTGTCTTTCCGAAAGCAGGAAGCTTAACATTTAAGCACGGAAGAGTTTGTTAATCAAAGAAAAATTGAAGCCGAGCTGCAACATTTCTAGTTCTAAGTACAGAAATAACCAGTAAAGAGGTGTCTGAGCGTTAACAGTATTTACAGTATAAACATCATCAGTCACGTGATCTCGACCGTTTACAATGTTTACACTATATATATCTTCAGTCCAAAGGTGTTTACAAAGTTTACAGTATATACACCATCAGGCAAGTGGTCTATAGCGATTTTAGTATTTACAGCATATACTTCATCAGTCACGAGGTCTAGAGCGTTTTGCAGCGTTAAAGACAACGTGTACTAATGATTAGGATTCGAATGCCTATGTCAAGAGTAACTTCTTCTAAACCAATGCTTTGTGATTTTTATTACCCATATCCAATATCAAAGCGACAAAATCGTGTTTAAAGATTAAAATATTTTTTTAAAAGAAATAGAAAGTTAATAAGAGAGATCTACAGAGAGATGATGTCACTGCTCTTGAAAGCCATTGCATGGCCATTTAGTCTAACAAGGACACGAGTGTGCATGATGCAAAACCTGTCTGAGCAAACAAATTACAGAGATATCAGTAATTGAGCACCACCAGCACGACGACTGTATACAAACGCTAACAAATTGATTTGACTGTACTCGTAACGATTCTATTAAAGCCAATGAGTATTGGTCTTGTGCTATCGGTGTTTATTTCATAGCAAGAAATGGATACTTTGGAAATTTCAGTAAAGCATTCATACGTTTGTATTATCAGCCAAAAAGGGCTCGGGTCCGCTCGAGAGATGTTTGGTGTTATGTATCACCATAGGGGTAAAGAAACAATAGCAGTGTACTGGGGTCACGGTATGGATCGACTATTTTGTAGATATATTCAATTTAAACAATCCACATTGTTTTGATGTCTTTATATAGCTTTAAGGGAGGACCTCATGGGATCGTGTGAAAACTGTATGTATTTTCTATGTGATTTTAGTTGTCAATATTCATCTCTTTTACCTTAAAAAGAATATTTTAATTTTGTTCTATTTGTGTCCAATACAAATAAAATTCTAAACTTATTTCTAAAATTATTGCCATAACGGTTAGCCATTTCAACAACTATTAACCTTAAGAGTTCCCCAATATAAAGTATGCAGTATTTTCAACTCGCACGAACGTCATTTATATGTGGAAGTTGATTGGTTCCCATACCATGTTTAGAAAAATGAACAGATCAGTCAAGTGAGAGATAACGACACGGAAACTCATTCCATATGTGACCGCAAAAAGAGCGAAAAGAGCGAAGCCATTTCAAAATGGCGTCCAGCTGTGCTGGCATGGACTCAGAGGATGAAAGACGGCTGATAAAGAATTGGACTTTAGTGAAAAATGAACTCGTGGTAGACAAGTTTCTTCATGAGTTTACAGAATCTAGGATCTTCTCTGAGAGTACTCATCGAGAAATCAAAAACGTTCAGCCCAACACTCGTCTTATGCGAGCTGACAAATTTCTCCATTCGGTGATAAAAACTGGGTGTCATGCGTATGAGAAGTTCTGTGACGTGTTGAGAAGAGACAGCAATAGATACAAAGAGGTTATGGACGTGCTCGAAATCACAAATAGTCCTGAAGCTGGTAAGGAAATCTTGTTCAATACATTGTAATAATATTCAGAAAAGCGGTTAATATTTTGTCATTATTACCAGTACTGTAGTTCACGGTGATGGCATTCATGACTTGGATGTAGTTCATTTTTATTCATTTTCTCATTGACATAATTGGAATGCATACAAAATGGTTTCAAAGCTATTGACTGCATGAAATGAAGACTAATAATTTTAATAACATAATAAAATGTTTTTTTACTTAGTTGTACTGCACACGAAGCATGATAACTGAAAAAAACTGTTTGGTGAGCTATGATCTCGTGCCATTGACATGTTTGTCACTTTTAACCTGCTTGATGATCACAAAAACAATCAAGTTTCCAGGTCGATGATATCTTTTTACAACACTGAATTGCAAATCAGTATCAAAAATGCTTTAAAATGATTATAGAGGGTTGTGAGATTATTTGGTCCAGCTATATTCATTAATCTAAACTACTTTATTTCCTTATTTGTTTGCAAAATCAGACCAATATCGTCAAACTACACAAAAAGCATGGCTTACAAATAAATCTCACGCCTAATCTTTACACATGATATACCAAACTTTGTACTGTTGCCCGTAAGCAGTTATTTATTTTCAAATATTTTTGAAAATAAAATGTACAATGTATGTATAAAACTAATAAAAGCTGATAGCCAAGGGAGCTATGCCGTAAACAAGTAAAACAGATGGTTATCCATTATAATTGTCATTACAATACATGTATACACATAACATTAACAATTTAAAAGAACGACAAAAAACAGACATTCTAAAGATCTTATGGGGAAGTATACACAAAATACATTCTAAATTAAACCATAAGTCCTTGTTCTGTATTAAAAATTAAAATTAAAATGTTGCAATTGTTCAAGCCGAATTCTTTGGACACATAACCTGAGTGATAGATAATAGCTATATATATAATTTTAGCAATAAAATAACACTCTCTCATTGGGCAAACAGCATCTTACAGTCGCTCACTTTGGAGTTAAAAAATGGAAATGACTTGATTTTCTGAGACTGAGACCATTAATAATGTTTCATGTTTGTTAAATTATATGACGTACCAGCGTTTCAACAGGTTGAAAATATAGTCACAGAAAAATGAAATCTTTTTTTTTTTCAATATTCTTGTGACATGTTATAAACAAACATTTTAAGATTAACAAGCAAAGCTCGGACACATAAACAGGAAAAAACCAAAGTCAAGAATAGCGAGTTCGTCTTTTCAGAACATCACCGTCAACTTTATCTAAAATAGGCAGCATTCCGGATTATACCTTTGAAATTTATATACTTATGAATGCAAAAGGATATTGTTGAAGGTATTTTTTTACACAGGTTTCAATGTTGAGCAGGGTTTGGGACAGACAGGTAACACTAAGGTACTTATAACGCTAATCAAGATAGGTTAAACATTCTGACATCTCGAAATGATTAATGTTACATACCGAGTAATCTGGCCTCCCTCAAAGATGTAGAATGGTTTTTTATTAACACTCATGCGACGATTGACCACATGCAGTTAGATCAGGGTGGGCGGGGAGTCACGCAACAAAAACATGAAAGAGGAATAATGCGTGAGCCACCTAAATGACAAATGGAAGATATTCAATATATCGGCCTTTACCTTTGACATTCATTTTTAATAAAAAGACATTTATTGTATATATAGGTTACATTTTAATATCTCAAAATATGTGTAGCCATGGTGATAAAGTTACATCCTCTGTAGTTCAAAGAATTGTACTTATTAAGATGCAGAATGCTTAAATTCACGCCAATGAGCCAAAAGGACTACTTTTACATTGTTCAGAGTGGGCGGGGAGTCACGCTAATACAAACATGAAAGAGGAACGTTTTGTGAACCAATTAAATGGCAAATAAAAGAAATGCACTATATTACACATTTATCTTTGACATTTATTATTTATAAAAGGAATCAACAATTACATTTTAATCGGTTAATCAATTTATCATATGGGCCACAGTAGTTTTTCAATTAAGTCATTTGATACGTTAGAAATACATACTGCAATATATTACATAAGTATACGGCCGTAAGGTCATACATCATAAAACATGCTTAATAGAATTATAAAACAAAAATAAGTATTTTGCACTAAGTACGTAAATTATGACACCTACTTTACCATACTATAAGTCATAAGTTTATGGTAGTAAGTACGTAAATTATGACACCTATTTTACCATACTATAAATCATCAGTTTATGGTAGTAAGTACGTAAATTATGACACCTATTTTACCATACTATAAATCATAAGTTTATGGTAGTAAGTACGTAAAGCATGACCCCTACTTTACCATACTATAAATCATAAGTTTATGGTAGTAAGTACTTAAATCATGACATCTACTTTACCATACTATAAGTCATAAGTTTATGGTAGTAAGTACGTAAAGCATGACCCCTACTTTACCATACCATAAGTCATAAGTTTATGGTAGTAAGTACGTAAATCATGACATCTACTTTACCATACTATAAATCATAAGTTTATGGTGGTAAGTACGTAAAGCATGACCCCTACTTTACCATACCATAAGTCATAAGTTTATGGTAGTAAGTACCTAAATCATGATATGTACTTTACCATACTATAAGTCATAAGTTTCTGGTGGTAAGTACGTAAAGCATGACCCCTACTTTATCATACTATAAGTCATAGGTTTACGGTGGTAAGTACGTTAATCATGACCCTTACTTTACCATACTATAAATCATAAGTTTATGGTAGTAAGTACGTTAATCATGACCCTTACTTTACCATACCATAAATCATAAGTTTACGGTGGTAAGTACGTAAATCATGACCCCTATTTTACCATACTATAAGTCATAAGTTTATGGTGGTAAGTACGTAAATCATGACATCTTCTTTACCATACTATAAGTCATAAGTTTATGGTAGTAAGTACGTTACTATGATATATCATTATTCAAGATTAGGAATGCATCTTTTTAACATTTATGATGGTTGGCAACACAGTTCTGTTCAAACATATTTTCCAGGAAACACTACTGCGCATCATGCAATATAAAACGGCATACTACCGTAAATGATAAAAAGATGCATTTCAAGCCTAATATTTACGTTCAAAAAAACAAAGATTACAGTATTTTATAGTTCGTTTGTGGTAAAATTCGGTTCTAAAAAAAATTAAAATGACTGTTTTATAAATCTGTCGTACAGGGTATTTTTTAAAATCTACATTAGTCGCCAGTAAAACTCTGTTTGCAACAATAAAATAACGATATACAGCAAAAAAATCAAAACACGGTCTTCCCTAAATGTAAAACCTTACTATGGTTTATCAAAACACGGTAAAGGTCTTCCCTAAATGTAAAACTTCACTATGATCTATCAAAACACGGTAAAGGTCTTCCCTAAATGTAAAACCTCACTTTGATCTATCAAAACACGGTAAAGGTCTTCCCTAAATGTAAAACCTCACTTTGATCTATCAAAACACGGTAAAGGTCTTCCCTAAATGTAAAACCTCACTTTGATCTATCAAAACACGGTAAAGGTCTTTTCTAAATGTAAAACCTCACTATGATCTATCAAAATACGGTACAGATCTTTCCTAAATGTAAAACCTCACTTTGATCTATCAAAACACAGTAAAAGTCTTCCCTAAATGTAAAACCTCACTATGATTTATCAAAACACGGTAAAGGTCTTCCCTAAATGTAAAACCCCACTATGATCTATTAGGTATGTTGACGGCGAGTTGTACATGTACGACGTCAGTAAGATGTTGTGGCACAGTATTGAATCGCATTCGAGCACTAAGTAAGAATAAAAAGACTTCCATTCTTGGGTCTATCCCTAAGATTTTTAAATAATGAACGTTCAGCCCTTGGTATATGCAGTTTTCAGCCTTTGTCTTTCAAATTATTCTTGAACATCAGCTTGCCTTTCGGATCGCTGAAGGTTTAGTGATTTTTAAGGTAACAAACTGGTCTAAAAATAAAATAATAAATGTTGTGTTGTAGCCAAAATGTTCAAAAGGGTTTTATAAGCACTTTCCTAACAAAGTGTCAACAAAACCCTAATTGGAACTCAAATCGATATACCAAGGGCCAAAAATGAAGAAACCTGCCATGTAAATGTAGGTTAAAATCCAAGCAATGTCACGTCCTCTATACATGGATTTCCATTCTATTTCTACAAATCCCCCAACTTGCTCTTAAATGGACGAAATGGCCATATGGTGCCGTATTACTTTTTATTTCGTTTGGCTTTCTTAATCGGTAAACTAAATATTAATATAGGTGTTTTGTGACGTCGTAATTCTGATGATTATATAACTTAACAAGGTAGTTTTTACTTTACTGGTGGACTTTTAGTCCCCAAGATTCCTTTTAATTTGTAACTGCAGTTTATTCTGACACCACGGTCTCCATAAAAGTACCTATTATAGCCTAGGGAGCTCCATTATGTCGTATTTCTTATGATTATTTTCTATAACTTTAATCTGCTTTGAGTGCGTCTTCATCAATAACCTTAATTTACCATCCACATTACATATCCAACACACACACAGGCATACACACACAGGGAGAAATTAGCCAGGTGGCACAGGACTAGTAGTTAGCGCCTGACAAGGCAGCTCCTGCGAATTCCTCAAAATAGTATTAATCAATGAAGATGCTAATTGTATCAACTGTATATCTATGTACTGTAAAGCGCTTTAGAGTGGCTTATAATAGCTAGATAGGGCGCTTTATCAAATGTTGTATATTATTTTTATTATTATTATTATTCACAGTTTTATGTAATCATTATAGTGGACAGGAATACAATATAGCTTCCATTTTCGCAAAATAATATTAATTTAATATAAATTATTGAGCTTTTTCGAAATATCTGCCTATATATAAACACATACATCAGTGTTGGTTGTCTACAAGTTAAAAGCGATTGCTGAGCAATTTTACATCAGATAAGTAAATTCAGAAAACATCTGTGACATATATAACTTGTATATATTTGTTTATTTTCAGTACCATCAGATTCTGATGACAGACCAGCGTCTAACGTATCGTCCAAGGTAGGTTATAACATTTCTCCGAAAGCCTATCAAAACATAGTGAAAATTTCATATCTCACGATATTCACACTAAGATGAACGGCATGCTTTTCTTATTAAGCATTATATATTTGTACGCCTCATAGATGCTTCTTTTACGCATGAATAAGTATGCATGTGCTGGAAAGCGCCTTAGAGTAATTTAGCAAATTAAACAATGTTTATATTTCATTATGTAAGCCTTACATTTAAACAAGCTGATAACAAAGATTTTTAAATGCTGTCCATACTGATTTAAACTAACAGATCACAAAGATTGTTTATGTCGTACATACTAACTTAAACTTACTGATAACAAAGGTTGTTATGTAATACATACTGACTTAAACTATCTGATAGCAAAGGTTGTTATGTTTTACGTCCTGACTTAATCTTACTGATAACAAAGGTTGTTTATGTTTTACATACTTACTTATAATAACAGATAACAAAAGTTGTTAATGCTGTACACAGCGTCTTTAACAAACATATAACAGAAATCGTTTAGGCTTACGAAGATCATGAAATACTGCTTTGAAAATAAACTCGTATGGCCCTGTTACAGCTAATTACACAACGAAATAAAGATTTTGAAACACATATATCGTACCCTTCGTACTTTATTACCTATTCAAACATAGATTAGATATATATTAAATATATCAGATGCATTACTAAGTATTTCCTTGATTTCCTTATTAATTAATTAATGTTGTTTCTGCTTCAGAGTGAGCGTTCCAATACAGAGGAAAAAAAACAATCTGACCGCAACACTACGCAAAATACTACTCCTGTCCAATCATCCACGGGCATCACTGCTTCCAGCCCTAGAAAAGCTTTACCCTCCATCGATACCTCTGCCATGACACCCGAACAGTCGTCTGTGGTACAAATGACCCAAGCCGCGGCATCTGCAATGACTAACTCCGAGTGGGGGATTCAGGGGGGAATAGACGTAGAAATTGTGGAAAAGGGCTTGATAGAAATTGCCCCAGCAATTGCCGAGTTAATGAAAAACGTGGTTGCCACTACAAGCAATGATCCCATTAAGCTGGAAGAATATCAAAAGGTTCGAAATGAAAACGAGGCCTTGCGAAAAACAAACCGCGCTCTTGTTGAACAACTGAATTCGTTTCAACAAAAAATAATTCAGCTTCAAATCGAAAACAAGAAGTTACGCGACACTGGGAAATGCACCAAGCTTTTGAAAGGTGATTTGGAAAAGAGAGCAACGACTCTCGAGAGTATCCGAAAGCGTTTAGAGGAGCAAAAAGCACATTTGGAAGAAAAGGAACGGGATCTAAACATACAACTTCGGAAAATTAAGGAAATAGACGAAGAACGTGATCGTTTTAGCCTTAAATTAATGAAACTTCAGGTATTGCATGACGATGGAATGGCTGAGCGCAACGCTCAGAAAGAACACATTTTAGAGCTTCGCGTTATAAAGGAAAAACAACAAAACCATATTGAACTGTTGGAGGATATTCAAAGAAGTGATGAAGAGGCAATGAAAATGCTGGAAGAACGCCTTAACTGTCTCGAACAATACGGAACTCCTCGGTATCAGACCGCCTCTTACCAAAAAAGTTCGACACGTGCTCGCAAAAACACGCGTGTCGTGTCCCCGCCAAGAACCATGCACTGGATGAACGGTATGGTGAGTCGGTCACACCATGCGAATGTAAAATTTCTCCCACCGTCTCCGACTCCGCGAGAAGCAAAGAAAGAGAAAGGCTTTTCATTCTGAAAGGAGTTATATGGGGTGTGTATTTTTCCACATAAATATAATACCTCGGACGTGGACAAGCATTAACAGAAGGGGGAATACCTTCTGGGTCAGCGTAGGTTCTATAAAGGGTACAAGATGAACTAACGACAGTGAGGGATTTATATTACCTCCGTCTTATGCTTCTGACAAATGTAGCAACGTACAGGATGATGCTGTTTAGCGAGTGCAAGGTGAATTGGTTAGTGCAATTTAACAATAAACCCATATACATATCGTTCAGTCTAGACTTACCACATCAAATCGATATCGTAAACGATAATCAATCAATTGCTCATAGTGTCATTGCATTACATATGATCAGTTCGGCTTTCGTTGATTTTAACATTCGTGTGAAGGGTGTAAATGTGCTGCCACTGTAACGACATTCACTTTTTGTAAATTGTCTTGTCGGTTTTGTGGATGGAGACTTTGTGTCATATTGCGATTGCAGACGATAAACCGTGCCATGTTGTACAGAATGTCATATTAATATTTTGAAGAAAAATAAGCCTCGTCAAACTGCTATTGAGTTATATCATACTATTATTTAACCGATGTCAGGTTACTGTTTTGAGGGCTTACTCATACGCTATTATTAGTGGAAGGATTGAAGTGTCATAATAATAGGATGAGGATAAACCGTGTCATACCACTTTAAGTCATATCCTACTATTGATTTCAAACTCCTGCCATATTACAATAGCGATGATAACCCATATCATTAGTGTGAAGGGTTGCACGTGCCATGTTAATATTTAAAGTGTGGCATACAATGAATCCTCTATTGACACGCATTCACTACTATTTGAAGGGTAAACTATGTCATGTCAGTGATATAACTAGTTTAAAGGATTAACCATGATATAAATGTGTGTCATATTAACATTAAGCCATACTTTTCAGCCATTATATATACATGACACAAAACAAGCTATTTATTTGAAGAGTAAACCGTGTCATAATGCTATTTTGAAGGTATACCATGTCATGCTTTCAAAATAATGGACGGTTTACCTTGTAATATAAAGAGTTTATATGGTAAACTTAATGATACTATTGTTGTGAATGGCAAACCATATCTTAATTTCTTAGGTCTTATATTAAAGAGACATTTAAGTAATTATAACAATATGTCGATATCTTTAATAAACCTCCTATTGATTTAAAACACTGCCAATTTCCTTCGATATATTTTCTGTTATAACATTGTGCAGTCAAAACGGGACTTTTGTATAACTGTACGATTGTCGGTAAGGTTATTTAAAATACTTCACTAGATAAACACAATTATTACTGCATCTTTACTCTGCTTGTGGATTTCATCGATAATACTATGCGTTTACCCTGTTTCAATGTTACACTAATATGCTATTTGTTAAAGTTTTCTATACTTATTTCGATAAGATATAAAATAATGGGGAAAACATTAAGATATGCTGAATAGTGTATATGCTGCAAGATAGAGTAAATTTTAAAATATAGAGAGCAATGAACCTTTAAGACAAGAGTAAATGCTGTAAGATAAGAGTAATTTTGTTACATAAATTAACTCGACAACTAAGATAATAAATAAGCCATTAAGATAGAGGAGAGAGTAAATGTCAGAGTCAATGAACTATTCAGAGAGTAAATGAACCATTAAGAATAACTTTTGATCGAGTAAATATTCAGATGTAAATGAGGTATGAATGTAGAAAGTTAAATGAATATAAGAAAGTATGGGTTTTTTTACGTATTGCAGTTTGAGGTATGCAAATGTAACTGTTTGTCCATTGAAGTATTATCTTATATGAATGTCATATATCTTATAAACAAATGTTGTTTATCTGTAAAAAGTAAAAAATATAATGTATGGAAAATATAAAATATAAATGGCATGTATTGTAACGGAATTGCATATATATTAAATGAATATCATGTAGGATGTATGAACTATCCTATATGAAAGCGCAAATCTTCCATGAATGTTGTACATATTTAATGTATGTTATAAATACTATGTCAGTTTACGCTTTATAACCTATATCAGTTGCTGCTGGTATTTTTTTCTATTTTACTAGCATTTGAAATGAGTGTCACAATAGCATTCAATTCATTGTTTTCAACTAGCATTCCTGGAATTCTATCAGACACAATACTAATTGATTTGATGGCGTTTATTTTATAGATTATTTTATTTTTAAATGTTTCTTTTGTGTATTTATTGTAGCAAATACCAACAAATAAATACATTATTAATACAGTAATTGCTGCATTATTCATAAAAATGCAACTTATCTCAGGAAATATATTAAGCATACTTTCACATCTTGAACGTTCAACATACGTAACAATATCGCAAAATTTAAACAACAAAACTAGCTTATAATAATGTGATATCACAGTACCTTCCCATTATAGCATTACACAGATTAAATAATAACACAAAATTGCAATGTTTTTGTGAGGATATTAGAGTAGGCAACATTTAGAAAACTATACATTACTCTTGTGTATAATGTACATCCATTCTATAATTTTGTCGTTAAATCAACTATTCCGTCTTTGCGTATTGCAAAGTTATCTTCTCTTCGGAGCAGGTATTGATTGGTACGTGATTGGTTTGTGCGAGAAAATTACGTCGTTTTCTCAAAAAATTATGACGTTACTCTCACAAACAAGTGACGTAACAATCAATACTTGCTCCCAAGAGAAGATAACTCTGCAATACGCTAAGACGGAATACGTTGTAATGACTACTGTAGACACCTATTTGTAACTATGTTTGTTACCGTGTAACATTTCATACCATAAGTTAGGTGATCACAGTGTCTTAATCGGCTAGCTCGATGTAAAATAACTACAGCATGTTTCTGCGTGTTACACAGCATTTCAAGTACAAACATCGGCACCCTGTTTCTTCATATATCATGAAAAATGTTAATTATAAAACGTATATATATTTTTTGTTCTGAAAAAGGTATCCTAAATAATGATTTTACAATAAATCATTGCAAAATGTCCAAATTTATTAGAAAGACACTATATCGTGATTCATAACCATAACAAGGTTAACTAATATCGGCAAAAATTGTAATATGCATTTGATTAAGAGCAGAATAATTTTCTACCGGACTTTGCTAACTTTGTTGGACACAGTAGTTTGATATATCCATTAAATAAACTTTTGTTTCATTCACAACTTTCATACATTTCATTGGTATATAGATAAAAATATAAATAGTAAACACTACTTTTATTGTGATAATAATGAACATTATTAGTTAACACTTCACATATCTCATCCTATGTACACATCATCAACATTTATGAACAAAACCTGGCAATTTTGTTATGGTGTGCTGTTTTAATTTTTTTCGTTTCAAAATGGGTTTCGTTCTTTGTAACATTAAATAAAAATGTACATTTCTGTTGATGAAATAAAATAAATTTAAGCCCAATGAATTGTCTTTGTTCTCGTCATGAAATTCAATAATGCTGACCAGTGAGGCACTTTGAACATGTTTTTGTTCCTACACACACTGGAAATCTATTCCTTGCTGAGCTATCCTAAGATCAACCGTCCAAAAGAGATCATTATCTGGCTGAGTTAAACGATTACCTGCCGGATTATCTCTCATTAATATTTATCTCATTATCTCTAGTAAAGATATAATGTCCTTGAATGTGTTCACTGGAACCGTACGTAAGCACACCATTGTGTTAAAACAAAGAGCATCCCGTTATACTGTGTATATGTAAGTATAAACCATTACAGAGGCGGTGGGGTTGTGTTACCACCTAAACAATGTTATATATACGATGGGGTACGCAGGAGACCCGTGGTAAAACAGATCGTGACATTGATTCTTAGCTCGGGATTAGTTCTGTACGAAAGGTGGGCCGGCCCAAAGGATCAAAAGACATACGTTCTTCCTCTAATAACGACGGTATCTCAAACTCTGGTGAAAATAAAGGGTAACCGTTTTTATCGTAAGAATGCACGTATTTATGCTACCAGATTTAGCGTAAAAACATTAAAATGAACAATAAAATAACCACTTTTTAAAGAAATTGAATCAAATCAGGTCGACAAAAGATATGTTAGTAATAATGTCCATGTGTAAAAATTCTTCCTATAATTGTTTATATTATTAGATGCACAGCGTTTTTTTTATTTTTATTTTTATTTTTGTGTATTCGTTAAACGAACTATAAGACCATGGATTAGTGCATACTGATACCGTTTGTACCGCCAAACAAATTGACAGAATTGGCACATTTTATGTTATAATTAATTTATGATAAATACAAAGAAAACAATATATTAGGTACACCTTGTCTATATCAATTCAGCCTTCTGTTGAGATCAAAACGTAGTTTAAATTATGACTTGGGACGATAAAAACTCCCCGAAACATAAAAGAAAAGACTACAATAGGTTGTTAATTATATTTTTGTGTATATTTCCTTGAATCTGATTGGCCAATTCCACGTCACATGAAAGCCACTGTAATACAGAGTGATCTGGTACACCTAGACAAGTCACTTCATTGTCAATAATTACGACACCGAACTTATACTACTAGTCCGTGTTAGAGATTTGTTCTATCGTTTATATGCTTCCGGTAACAATTATCGTGATTTGTCTGTCATTAACCAGCCATGTATATAATACAGAGAAACGATGTTAAATATTTAGATAGGTAGTAATATTGAATCTAAATATTTAGAAAGGTGTTATAATTAAATCCATCTAAATAAGCTATATACGGAATGGTTAAATAAACGAAACATAAAGGATTAAGAGATCCATGATTACATCATATTTTATTTGATGGATGTAGCATAACATTATGATTAAACTATTCTGTCTATCCCCTAAATGATAGTTTTTATTTATTTACAAAATAGTACTGGTAATTAAATGCTCATCCACGTAATAAACCGTGTCAACCTTTGTTTAGCTGTAATTTGCTACTATCGCAGCACGTCTGCCATTGCTGACATGGACAATATCGTAGATATTTTGTCAGATATGTGACTGGTAAATAAATAAACAATTCAAGTATGAAAATGACTTTATCCTATCCAAACATCTGCTGGACAGTTGGAAAACAAATCGCGTGATTATCAAAAACACAACATATTGTATCTAACTGATAGACCGTTTTCTCTATCAAACCATTATCGTTAAAAAGGCGTCACAGACATTTATTTATTATCAGGAAATCTGACGGGGAACCTAAGCCTGCAACGACCTTTAAATGCTTAATGATACGGAACGGTTACATACAAAAACTAATATATATACGATTTAGACGGATCTAAAGGCAAGAGCAGGACCATTTGAATATTTGATAAATTGTTTGAAAACTTATTTGATAGCATGTGAAATAATGATCTTGTAGCGAATATCTGAAACAAAGCATAGCATTCCTAAATTCAGTTCAAAATGTTTTTTACGGCATTGTTATAGGTTTACGTTTTTTGTTTCAAAATAAATGAAAAAAACTTAAGTCACAACAGAAGTATGTCTAGCGATCCGCAGTAACGCTAGATTTATATAAGTCGTCAAACCTACTAAAGACGACTGGGCTGAAACATGGCGAGGACAATAGTTGATACACGTGCCATTATAGGCTAGCATATGTTTTTGTGTGTGGCTATGTGTAGTTGTCAATGTTTTGGCGGCCAGTAGCTTACTTCAAAACTGAAATGTTGGTATTATCTATGCTGTCAAATCTAGACAGCAGAGTGTTGCTAGTTCTACGAATATCACGAGACAAAAACAAAAACCATTACACAAATAGTTACTGCCAATAAATTGACTCAAAGCGCAAACAGAAATTACATGTTGCAATTTTTAACATAAGTGAAACTTGCAATATATGTCAAATAACAGCGTAAGCAAAATAATATTTCTTATATACAATTCTTATATACAATTATTTAGAAATAAACATGTATTTTCTTTTCTAATGTTCATGTTTAAGGGCCTCTCTCTCTCTCTCTCTCTCTCTCTCTCTCTCTCTCTCTCTCGTAATGGAAACCCTAAAATAAGAAACCACAAACCAATTTCCGACAAAAGATAAAGATTATCAAAATATCATTTTCTTTTCAAATGCAATATTATTTAAACTTCATCAAGATATTTGATATCATAGACTTTCTCTTACAGATTTGATACGACCATAAGGAAATGTTCGACGATCGAAAATTAAATTTGACAATTCAACCGATTGATTTAAAGAGACAAATTATAAAGAACCAATGGTTAGACCAACGGACAATTTCTGTTGAATCATCGTGGCACCTGGCCACATGCCAGACATATCGCGTATTTAGTAGTTCAATATAATGTAGTGTGGACTATGGATGTCGCCTAGCAGCTTCTCTTCCACTAGTACAAAAGGATGGTGTGGCCAACACAAGGTATAGTAAGTGTGTAACTGTAGGTAGCATCACTTTCACGTAGACTTTATTTGCTGATGAGAATGATTTCACAGGTATGTATATAAAAGTGTCCGATTACTTCTTAATGGAATATCATATTATTCAAACGTAGATGTAATTATGTGTGGTGTTTTATTTGCTAATTATTATGATTTTGGAATGTTTCGTGAGTTTAAAAAAATCCAAACTATTGAATAATTTACCCAAATCAAACACAATATTCATGTATGGTTTTCTCACGTTTGAAGGATGAATTTCACATGTGCTGAATAACTATTGTTTCTTCAAAAATCTTCTGTATATTTCTGAAGGAAGACGTATATTTAGTACTGCCTATATTATCAAGCTTTATGTGGTGTACTGCGTTTCGACTGATACTGTATGTGATAATTGGCTATTTTGATTAATAGTGATGACATAAGTTGGAAAGGAATCAAAATCAGCTCGTGTGCCTTTTGTCATCACATTACTGATTTGAATGGTCTAGATGTATACCAAAGTTCAATACGGCTTCTCCTTATTTTAGGGAAAGAAACACGAGTAAATATTACATCGAAAATAATACTGATTTTAATATAAAGCATTGTAGTCACGTGAAATTTGCCTATGGAACCAACCTGAGGTTTGAGTCAAATACTCTCATCTCGGGTTTCTATATGTAAATATCATATGTTATGGAATTTAGTTAGATTCGTATGTCTGAATAATTATGGTTTGAATATAAACCATAGGCTGACGCAGTATCCTAGCCAATAATATTGATACGTGTTTGTAGAAAGAAGCAAACAACAAAAGGAATGACTACTCCCCCTACCGATGTCAAATCAGTGAGATTCAATGAAGAAATAGCGGAAACAGAACTGACCGGACGATGGAGTTTTCTACGGTAGGTAATGTGATGGTATATATAGATACATTGTATAACATTGAGTAAATACATGTACGATCAAACAATAACAGTCAACACAACCTTATCAAATAGAATTATTTACTTCATACATCACCTATTACATCTGGCAGTGCTCTAATAACGATCAATCTCGAAGTACAGTATCATTTCCCAGACATGGCATCTTTCGTGGGTTTAGCAAGTTTTACGTATTTTATATAATAGACACAAAGATGGGTTCGTGTAAATAGATACATGTATGGATTCGATATAATAGATTCAGTAGATAAAAATGCATTCTGTATGATAAACTTACAGATATTTTCTGTATAATAGACTTTAAAATGGGTTCTGTAAAATAAACAAACAGTTTCTGTAAATTAAATTCACAAATGGTTTATGTACAATAAACTCACAAATGGTTTATGTACAATAAACTCACAAATGGTTTCTGCATAGTAGACCCACAAATTGTTTCTGTATTAGACTCATAAAGTGACTCTATAAAGCAGATTTATATATTTAAAAGACATATAGATGGGTTTTATATAATAGACACATAGATAGATCCTGTAAAGCAAAATTATGGATATAAAAGACACAGAGATGTTTTTTTTATATAACAGAGACATGGATGGATTCTGTAAAGCGGACTTGTAGAAAAAAAGACATACATTGTATATGGGTTTACATGACAGACACATCGATAGTTCTTTATAACAGGATCATGGATATATTTTATATAACAGATCCATGAATAGATTATTTTTTAAAGTGAAAATCATAGGACGTGATACCAACTTGACATGACCCCGTTAGAGTCATATCGATTTAAAATGGATTAGAAATTTAAACGAATTAAAGCATAGTTAAAGCGAGATATGCTACAATGATAAGTATGTCACACACGATAAACAGTTATTTATGAATAGCAGTTTTAGTGGCATCAAATAAATTTAAAACTGGAAAACCTTTCACATTTCATACTCAATTACGTATTGAGGCAGTGTCTTGTTATTAATGAGATGTCTAATGAGATGAAAGAAATTCGAATTCGATAGTGACTTTGTTATTAATGTATTGATCCCACATACAAATGAAAACTATATTTGGGTGGTACTAAATGTAGTCCTCATAGATACAGGATGTCTAAGTAACTATTAACGATGTACCAACAATTGTCTGCTCAAACGTTTGTCTCTGAGGCTAAAACACAGTAAGTAAAACAAGTGTTTCAATTGTAGTTTGTGCCAGGTTATGATTTTTCTATAAAGTGGTGTGTCAGTTACATTTTACATAAAATAATAAAATAAAAACAGTATGTATGCAAAAATGGCAAATCTCTCAACTTCAAGTCATATTCTGCCGTCATAAGAAATGCAGACGTGTGGGAATAAATCTATATCTGCTACATTTATACAGATAAAATTGATAAATATTGTATTCTTAATAGTAAGTAGCTGTTCCCGTAACAGAGCAATACATATGTAGATATAAGGATCACTAAAATATATAATGAAGCAGGTAAGACAGTCTTATAAGCGCCGTTCGCACGTGTGTGTTAAGGTGTCATTGTGTCAAACGATTGTATCAGTATATTCATGTATTATAATATCAATAACGACGAACGGTCCGTTACACAAGTTGTCTGGTAATAATTATAAACGCGTTAGAGTACTCAATGGTAGAGGGTATAGGATAGCACCACGTCAGTATTAATGTTATATATTCCCCAGCATATTTGGCAAGATAGCAATATGTAAAACATAGTTATCACAGATCCAGAACTAGGAATAGAATAGCGGACCAATCGGATATTACCTCAACAATAAGCTTAGATGATCGGAACAAAACAATAAATGTACCAATTGGAAATGTATACTGACAACAAAAAACATACATACAAGGAATATAACACAAATCAATAGGTTAAGACGACCAAAAGACGAACGGACTACAAGGTTTATGCAAAAGCTACCTATTAACGATAATTGACGATACAATCGACGTTAATACTTGATAATTAACTTCCCAGAATTGATATAAGAAAAGCATCTATTATAACGTTGGATATGCTGTTTTCTCATAGCACGAGAGTAAATTTAGATGCGGCGTCAATTTATCTCATACTATATTCAGTATTAAGATAGTATAGTAGAATGATACAGTTAAATTGATATAAACAAAACAAAAACATCAGACAGGATCCTAGCGGTTATAAACTATATCAAACAAGATGTTCATAAAAACACAGGCGTGTATGGCGAGATTACATATTCGGAACATGTTTATATGTAAACACAAGTATTAGAAACATGTCTATGTAAAACTTATTAATGTCTAATTGTCATTGTAAGTGATTTGTAATATACCAAATATAAATATAATGCGAGATTCTTCATTAGAAATGTATTATGGTATGCAGAAGAAAACGTAGTGTCTAGTAAAGTGTAGACAGTACGTATACCTTGTCACACTTCAGGCAATTTTACACAAACATAAATCTGACTGCAGAGGACATCAAGCAACATAATACTGAAACGTCTAGACTACGCTGGGTAAAATGTAGAGAGCATACTCCTATTTATCATGAATTCAAACATACTATTGGCAGATACCTCCTCACACTTAACGAAGAACTCAACCTACAGAGAGTGGCGGATACTTTGGAGGACCGAGGAGCGCTGACCCCGTCACAGAAAGACGAGATCCTACAACTTACGTCTGACCGGGAAAAGACTGAGAAATGCCTGGAGCTGGTGATGAAGTCCGGACCTAGGTCATACAGTCTCTTGTGTGAAGTACTGAAGGACTGTGGCTACAACCATATCGTAGAATCTCTCCATGCAGAGCACGGAGAGACGGACAGCAAAGGTACGTGTGTGGAAAGGAATAAGTATAAACTTAATTTCTTCCGCTAAAATTATGAAACACGTTATTTCAACTTATATTAATCACTCTTGTAGGCCCGGAATGTTAGAGAGTGGAAGTGGGATGGGGGTGTCTTAATATGTGAGGAAACCCCACTTAGTCGGACCTGAACTTAAAAACTTAAAAAAACATCATGAACCCAAACAAACAAAAGGTGAAACCAGAGACCCCAGATGAGTAGGTGTTTCCTGTATGACATATGACGCTCACCATTTTGTTTCATGGCAAACCCAGAAACTGTAGGTAATTATAAGGATCAGGCACAGTGGATCAGTGTTTGACACCGGCATGTTATAGCTCTGAAAACAGATCATGATGATAACCAAACGGGTTCGCTCTTGAGTAGCGAGTCCACTATGCAAACTTCAAAAGTAGGGAAGTATGACATGTTACAACTGAGGAAAGGACACTTTGTGGGAGTCGTCTCGTTTATCATTGCAGCTGGTACGAGCAGCCTAATGGTGCTCACGTCTCACCAATATGCTTTTGTAGTCCGATAAACTAGATTTATAAAATCCCAATAATTGATACAATAACTGTAAAGGAGATAAGATAATTGCACAATCCGTTTACTTCAGGGTATATTTATATTTCACTCTCGAATTCTTACGCATGTCTCGGTCAACAACATATTATTATGTTTTAAAGATACCTCACTATACAATATTTATCACAAGCGTTTCGTACTTAAATATAGTTCAATTTTCTTTCCTTACTAGCAATTAACGTACTTTAGTTTCGGTTTCCTTTTTGTGTGTTAGCGTTGTTATATATTCTTGTTCTATTTTAATATACAGGAATAATACATCATAAAGTATTTAATCACCTCAGAGATAGGTATGCTATTCTCTTTTCAGATACTGACGAATTATCAGAGCAGATTTTATTGAATATTAATGAGTCAGAGGTATGTATAGAAAATTCATTAACTTGCCTTTATTTTTGGGTTAATGATAAGCAATTACTGCTTCATTTTCCGTGATACGATACTGAGATAATGAACCTATTTACTGAACACATGAAATGCTACTAGGACGTCGCTCACTGAACACAAATGTTAACTTTCTAGAACGCTCACTAAACCCGTTTTACTTACTATGACGTCGCTCACTATCCAAAAAAGTTTACATTCAAAGAGGTCGCTCACTAAACACAATTTACATACTAGTACATGGCCTACTGGACACAAATTATTCCTTATAACAAAATTGCTCACTGAACATAAATGTTTACCAGTTGAGAAGTCGTTCGCTGGAAACACGTTTTATCTACTAAGACGTCCCTCGCTGAACACGATTTGTTTCGTAGTACTTTGCTCCCTGAACGCCAATTCGTTGTGCTAATTCATATGATGTAGCTCGCTGAACATATATTTGAACTTATTAGAAATTCGCTCATTTGATATATTTTTTCTACCTAACTGAAAGTCGCTCGTTTTCCCTACCAGGAGGTCGTTCTCAGAACGTGTTTTATCTACTAGAAGTTCGCTCACAGAGCAGATGTTTTACCTCCTAGGAAGTCGCTGACTGTACTCGTTTTACCTACTAAAAAGTCAGTTAATGATCATTAATGTTTTGCCTACCAGAAAGTCGCTCGGTGAACATGCGTTTCTATTACGACATCGCTCTCAGGACACGTTGACCTATAGGAAGTCGCTTACAGAACAAACGTTTCATGTGTTCGAAGTCGCTCATTTAACACAAATTTTACCTACTAAAACGTCGCTCAATGAACACACGTTTTACGTACTAGGATGTCCTCACCTAATAATGTGTTTCCTACTAAGTACTTGGAATTTTAAATAGTATACTATATTAAATAAGTTGACATCGTTTTTCATGCAAACAAGTTTTTTCTCAGTTATACTTGAACTATTAAAAACGTTTACTTATATTCCGTGCTAGAGGATATATAATATGTAACTAGTATTAACTGAAACATTGTAATAATTATTTTCCAGATCTCAAACATCAAATTTACACCAAAAATAGGAACAACACCATCTGGGGATCTCTCAGTAGTAGGAATGAAAATGTCTTTAACCGATCTCGCCAACGATACCAAAGCATCACAAAAGGACATCGCAATAGTGATGCAGAAACAATCCGACTTGGAGCAACATCTTCAGGAGGTGATGAAGTCATTGGACATCGCCACAGAGGCGCTTGCACGTGAACGCGAGGAGAAATTGCAACTTCAGGAACAGCTGAGTGCCAGAACAGACGATCTGGAGGATATGCAACGCAAATACCGCGAACTACAGAAGGCAATGGGGAAACTTAAAGAAACAAACAATAAGTACCATGAAAAAGTTACAAAACTTCAAATTGACAATGAAGAATTAAGAAAAAGTACAAAAGACAAGGGAAACTTGCAGGTTGAGCTAGAATCGAAAAAGGAAGAAATAACATCGCTGAAGAGGCAAATTGAAGAACAAAAACTGCAGATCACAGATCAACAGAGTCTGATAAGCGACCGACTAGGAATAATCGACACCTTAGCGAATGACCACCAAAAATTAAGTGATGGACAAACAAAGCTTGAAAGTTTAATTAACAGGCAAAGCGAGCAAATCACGACTCTACTGACAGAAAAAGATGAGTCCCAGGTACACCTGTCCAATCAGCAGCAACAACTCAACTTCCAGCACAACTCCATCCTGATGCTTCAGGACAGCATAGAAAAGATGCAACAGCAGATGGAAAGCCAGGCCGAACAGAACGTCATAGGAATCTACCCCTCGGAGCAGCACCATCGGCCCAGGCGTGGCCCACCCTCCAAACAACCCGTATACTACAGACCCTTCAACTCCACTGGCAAGCCAGAGAACTCCAAGAACGCATTCTGGAAACACTCACAGGATAACAGAGGCAGGCATAAATGATACTTTCAATTAAGAAGTGAAATACATTATCATATAAACAGTCCATCATCGTTAATCCAGCCACCACTTATCTGGCCATTAAGTGTTCCAGTTGTCCAGCTGTGTGATAATTGACTGGATTAACGACGTGTTACTTTATTGTTTTGTAGCAAGCATAAGTATTGAAACGTTCGTTACGACTAAGCAACCTGTTTTGTGTATAGCATCGACATATATCATCAAAAGAATGAGTCAACTAAATTATCAATAGTGTGTGTGTGTGTGATATGTTCGCAGAACAGAAGAAATACATGTACATTAGAATATTGTTCATTCAATTGGTAATTCAACATATTTGAAAGGAGTTAGGTTAACTCATTCACCCCTAAAATTCTTATTGAACTATTCCAACATTTGAATTGGAAGGGTTCAAATGTGTCTTCAGGGGTGAATGGGTTAGGAAGACAACTAAGAGTACTTCTTATAATTTAGGCAAATATCATAAAGTTTATCTGATGATCTTCGACCAATCCTTTCCTTTCAATATTTGACTAAGTCACATTCAAAGAAGCAAAGAATGATGCACCGATAATATTGAAAATAAAACCACATAACCTTTTGATCGATTTACATGTTTAATTTATTGACATATCTACGCTAGATTAGATTTGCAGATCTATGATCGTGAAAATGAACAAACCTACATGTGATGACAAAAGTAGTTATCAATATTGATATATTTTTCACCCTTTTATCTTACTGGGGTTTCCGTCTATATTTTTCTTACTGGGGTTTCCGTCTATATTTATTTTACTGGGGTTTTCGTCTATATTCAAGCCATTAGTGTGTTGCAATGTGTTAATGATGTAAACTCTCTTTAAAGGCTTTTTGTGGCAATATCTTATTACATGTACATACAAATACAAATCATACTTATATTCATCCTACAGATTGCTTCACCAGAAGATATAAACAGTAAGATTTTCCTCAATTTCCTTGTTATTACATTTTTTTAATTTGATGACAAATCATTTTTCATTTTTCTTTTTTCTTTAAGGTTTGGTTTTATAAATAGAAGGAACAAATACACAACATAACCATACGTAGATTATATTTGCATATCAAGTTTTAACTATAGCTGGGATCTTGCGTAACAATAAATGGTATTGGCTATCTCACAACTAGCAGATTGTTGAAACATTATAAAATATCATGTATGTCTAGATGTTTTTAGTTATAATCATGACAAAATATTTCAGAACAAACCTTGGTCAACAATCAACAGCTAAACACAGAGCTACTGATTAGTAATTGTTTATATGAAAAATACATTTTACGGTTCTTTTTTTTTATACAAGATAATATGTAAAACTCACTGACATATTCCAATCAGCAGTTAGCTTTTACATGAGGTAATTTCGTTGTTTTCTATTCTAATATGTGCCTTGTTGTATGAAGATAATGAAACTACAGTTTGTTTTTAATCAATATCTATCAAAGAAAAATGTTTTCAACTCTGTCATGTGAATATTCTTTTAAAACAAACGATATACATTTTATGTAAACTTTGCACTGTGAATTTGATAATATCTGCAAGACTTTGTTTTCAGAACTATTTTTCCACTGTCCTATTATTCTATGAGTCAATGCTTTTTAGATTTTTTAGATTTTAAATAAGCAAACAAACCACAATGCAATTCAGTCTAAAATATTTATTCATAATTTATCAGATTTAACGGCTAAAATTTCTTCAGTCATCCTGAGGATAATGAATCCTTCAATTTCTCATATTTTGCCTGATCCTGTAAAAAAAAGAAGAATATATAATTTACTAGAGTGTCACTTTCATTTTCAGAAGCATGAATATTAACAGAATATAAAGCAACAATTAATTTCTTTATATTTACCCCTGGAAAATATTTTTTCAGGACATTCCAAAATACTTAGGAATGAAAGAATGATTTATGTTCTACATCTAGAGAATAATGCACCTCTTATATACAGTAAAATCTTGAAATAATGTCCTAACTGATTCAGAACCTTGTTTATTACCATTTTATTTCCATGGCCCTTTATATGTCTCCCTCAATATACAGTATTATCAAACCCTGATATAATGCCCATTTTTTCCAGACAAACCATGAAAGTATAGGTTTTATTGTATATCCTTGATAAAATTATGTAAATCAAGGTCAACTTCAGGTTTATATATGAGTTAAGTTGGTTGTAGAAAACCTGTTTAGCTCCAACAGCCACAATGAACGACAGGTATTGGAAACATTGACGTTTGTAACTCAGTTTTTGATAAAAATAAATCTGAATTCAAAACAAAAGGAAATAATATTCAAAAGAAATAAAGGGTTTATTTTTTATTGATATTGGTATGAAGTGTAGTAGCAATCGAAAACTTAATTGTAATAAAGTCTAAAATCATACATATTTACTACAGTAAATGCACTTCCTATTGGCATTATAATAGATACCTGTCATTCCTTACACAACGTTTTTCAAATTGTCCCCTTTCATTCAAAGAGCAATGAACATTAATCCATTCTGTTAGCTACACATATAACACAAATACAATGAGAACCTATACATTTAAAACGTTGATTTTAAATATTTCAAAACTAAATTACTTGAATACCTCCGACATTAACTAAACTACCAAATGTACTGTACCTTCATTGACACAGATGGTTGGACTCTGGTGAAGGCCAATTCAAAGTGTTGTCTGGTGACAACGAGGGAGGGCTTATTATCTCCTGTAGAGTTAATGACTGTCTTTAAAGCACACACTGAAGCCTCCCTCACCAATGCTGCCAGGTCTGCTCCTCTGTAAACCAGTTAGGTTGCAGTATTGAGATTCAACATCCAGGGGAAATGTTTCAAATTTGTAAGATGCATGGGGCAACAAATCCAAGTAAAACTTACAACAAAACCATTTTCTTATTTCTCATTTAAACGTTTTAATTTCGGGTATATCTATTTTTTAATTTTTTAAATTTATTAATAAAAAATTTAGGTATCATCTCATTTTCCGGTTTATTTACAAAAATTAATTCTTAAAACCATGGCAACAAATCACAGAAAATTACACATAATGAAGTAAATGGAAGGGTATACATACGTATAGCGCTGACACCTCGGTTCATTGGCCACCTCCTCCAGACTCACATCCTCCATCATCTTGGGTCTTGTCCCCTTCTGTAAGCAACGTAAAGTGTCAATCAGCAATTGATTTTTCAAAACCAATGGTGTTTACTTCAATTCCGAGTTGATGCCAGTTTAGCCGAATCAGTGACACTAAAAGGTTTTGGTGTTATTTTTTGTTACATTTTTATATCTTTACTGAATGACTTTAGGAGGCTCCACCCTTTTGCAATTAACTGGTAGAATTCAATGAAAGTTTCATATAATGGTTATGTCACTATGTAAATATGATTTTATGACAATCTAAGCATTCCGATAGACAGGATTTTTTATTGTAAAAATACCAAAAAAAATGGGGTTTTTTTTTATCAAATTTAACACTTTCACATTTTATGAGTGGGTGGCATGGTTCAAAACTATTGCAACAATAAAATAATGAAAAGAAGCATTGTTAATCAACCTTACAAAAGTTTTATTTATCATAATATATCTTAAAAACGTTACACAAAGTGTTTTCTATTGAAAATATATAGATAAAAGTAGTTATATACAAGCTTAAAGCAAACAGGACACATAGTTTCATTCAAATAGAGCAAATAATTGAACCAAATACACACAAAGCCTTAATAATTTATTTATTTTACAATCATTTTGATCCTGATGAGAGTTGTCCAACTTTTTGCAGAGGGTTAAAATTTATGCAATGACATTTATTTTCTTTACTATACCAAAAACGACGGAAACAAATTAAATTATGATATTAAGATTGTCAAATTACTGTTCTTTTATGGAACAAAATTACTCTCAATCACTTACACTTTGGATTCCATAGCCCGCTTACGCATGGTACCATAGTCTATCACATGGTAACATTTTATAGGGATCTTGATATTTTACAAAACACTATTTTCACAGAGTTATTGTTATTGCATTTGTGAAATGATTTACCTGACAGAGCGTAACTCGCTCGACAACAAAAATCATAGTGACCCCGAGCTTGTAAACTAGTGTTAGCATATGAAATATACAGGTGAGGTCGGTAAACAAAACACATCAGTCTGCATTCCATGCGCCTCATATACGACCTTCCTGAAATCGTCTTATCATATGTCAGTGTCTTCCCGTGAGTTAATTTATGTCTTTGTATTAGCAGCATAATTTCTGAAATACGTGTGATTACACATTTCCAAGTTAAGTCTCAATATCGGATGTTGACATATCATCGTCACGCATGCGTACTATTGTTTCCCCGGTGTTATTATAATTTACACTTAAGTAATGGAATGCCCAATACGCAATAGGGAAATGATGACATGAAAATACGACAAGAAAAACATGTGTATTACGATGGGTGGAAAGTCCTTAAGTACTTTTGCAGAATTCATCAAGGAACATTCCTTTTTCTGTGTGAAAATATACTCATTATTTCAGCAATTTGCTTATTCAAATACATTGCAGAAGTTGATTCAGATGCATTTAAAAAGGTACTGGAGTCAGTTTGATTTTAAAAAATTTGATGCACAATTGTTAAAATCTATATTGCTGTCAATTACAATTTTTTTGTTGCCACCTCAAACGTGAGATATACAGAAGGTAGAAAATCCACGCCTACTCCACTGTTATAGTGGACGGGCTACTAATCATTAATAGAACATGGTTTAAATGGTATGCTGTTCAACAGTGTAAAGGTAGACATTTTTCTCGGGGAATAAGTTATACAACTTAGTCATTGATTTCATTGAAATGTATTTTAGTCACATCCCCAACCTGAAAACCATTACTGTATAACATGAAATACTGGCTGTGTTAAAACATTAATGGTTTGCTATGGAACCAATACAATAGGTACACCAGAAGGATCTAAACGGCTTCAAACCACACATTGAAATGCCCACAAACTTTTCATGTTTAACATTATTGTTATGATTCCATTGGCTCTAATGTCATTTTTATAGCACTGTATTGACAGCCAAGTCATCAGAGTTTAAAGTTTTTGACACAAGAAACTAGCACTCTCAGGATGAACTCATCCAATCTTGGGCAATATAATCAGGTTATACTGTACTAGCCAAGTCCATGTGAGATTCAATTTTTAAAGTTTATTTTGTGTACCTACAGCATGAAAAATGTACATGTCTTGTAACAAAGGAAAGTCCTCAACTGTTACACAGAAACAGCAAAGTCAACATGAAGTCAAGTATCATATTTATCATGAATTTCCAGGAGCTCCAATTTTAGTATATAATCCTCCATTTTACCATTAGCTGAAGTTGAATGCTGGTCTGTAACAGTATACATTTTTTAGTGTTACCTTTGTGATAGTCATCAAGATGTCCAGACGGTCCGCTGAATCAGGAAGTCCAACATAAATAGTCTTGTCCAGTCTGCCTGGTCTTAAGACAGCAGGATCAATGATATCTGAGGGAATAATATATACCAAATTAAATCACTCTCAATTACCACTTAAGCTACACAGGAACACTTTTATGTATTTACATTTCTGTTGTATCGCCCTTAGATCACCAACCAATCAGAAATACGGTGTAAACTAACTTAACAGCATTCCTGATGCTGAGCTCCTCCTTGCTAGATAGGAATATGGTCTGTGTTGACAATTACAGTATCTTTGCTGTAGTATATAAGTGGTACAGCACTATAGAACTGTACATAGCCCGAATATCTATAGAACCTCCAGCACACACATCCACGTACATATGGAGGTACAAATATAGTATTATATTAATAATAGTCAGATGACATCATCAGTCAATCAGTAAAGACAAGAGTATATGTATTACCTGGTCTGTTTGTAGCCCCCATAATAAACACTTGTTTTCTTTCCTCCAGACCATCCATCTCTGTCAAAAGCTGGTTCACAACACGCACACTGGAGCCACCCTGTACCACAAAATACATTGATGTAAAAACTGCAATCAGCCTGGAAAACCAGTATCAAGTAGTTCAAAAACATTTCAGGCAATTTAGACCGATTCCTATAAGGATTTAGTCTACAGCTGCCTGCCTTGAGTGGCTACATATATTACCAATAAAATCAGAAGTTGCTGTAGTGATTAAGTGTAAAACTGGTTTTGAGTAGTGATTACTGTATAACATGAAATGTTTGTTATATACAAACATTCATGGTTTTCGTGGAGGCTACGGAACCATGAAATTATATACAACAAATTTAGTTGATATACTTGACTACTCTTTGTCTATATGTGGGTATACATGAAAGTTTGTACCACGAAACAATCTAAATGGCTTCAAACCACGATAGAAAATACCCATAAATATTGCATGTTATACAGTTTTATTAATTGTAAAACTTGTTATTGACATTAATACCACCTACACAGAAGAGCCTCAACATTTGTAAATGTGAACAAACAATAAATCAGAAATCAAATATCAAAGCAGCATTATTCTTAAGCTGTTGAGTATCAAGGTTTTAGTTAACCTCCATATGGGGGTATATGTATATGACCTCCTAAAATGATTTTTGACCTTCAAAATGTTAGAGGCTTGCCATATAAAGGGGTCAGAGCTTGTAAGTTTTGCCTGAATTTACCCCCAACTTTTATGTGTTGCAAAAACACTGAGTATATTAATAAATGTACCGGTATTTGTCTAAACTCACCTCTCCACTATCAGTTCTACGAGGACAGAGTGCATCTAATTCATCAAAAAATATCACACAGGGCGAAGAGTTCCTAGCCCGCTGGAACACCTGTCTGACTGCCCGCTCACTCTCTCCTACATACTGGAGTGTCAAAGTTATCACAACATTAATGAATAAAGAAATAAGAAAGATAGCACAATGGATTTTGTGCAGTGATATTTTCAAGTTTTTGAGAGAAAAAAAACAATGAACTGAATGACTCTTTGCAGCTTCAAGACTCTAATGCTAAATGTAGGTCTACAGAACGAATTGACAAAAGAGTCTATAATACATTAAATTCACAGATTTACCTGACCATGATATAATCTTGCAACTCTAAAATAACCCAATAACACAACTTATAATGTAGTTGCAAATTGTTTTGCTATTACCAAGCTTCTTTTTTAAGCATTTGTTATTTTTTAGAATAAGACTACTAGTAATAGTTAATAAAGAAGCTTATTTAATGATGATTCACAAAACCACTAAAAAAGTTGACCCGTTACCTTTTTTTTCATTTTTACATAAATCAGTAAAATATTAATCAAATAAAACAGGAAAAGGTTTACATTGAGCCCTAGAGTTTCAATAATGTAATGGAGATGTAGCAAAGGGTTTTGCAACAAGAAATTAAAAAACATCCGAATACTATTTTTCAAGTCAACTTGGTAGATGACAAAAACACATCAAGGGAGATAATTTATAAATCGTGAGAACCAACAAACCTACCATGTTGAGTAACTCTGGTCCCTTGACAGAAATAAAGTTTATACCCGATTCATTTGCAACTGCCTGAAATCAGAATGAAGCATACATTAATTACATCTGTAGGTGTATCACTTCAACAAGGACACTTTCAAGAATGCAGTTGTCACCATTTTAAAATTCGGTACCTCTATAGCTATCCCACAATAATAATGGTTTTGTGCAGTGATCTGTTTCATTTTTAACCTATTGTCTTACAAAATGTTTTTCCGGTAAACAAATATTCCGATAGCAGTACAGAGCAGTCTAGCTTTGCGGAAAAGACTTTACTATGAGGTTAACAGGAAAAATAGCTTACCTTGGCTAGAAGAGTTTTTCCACAGCCCGGGGGCCCTGCCAGCAGGATTCCCTGAGCTCTGTTCATCCCGAGTTCGTGGAATGCATCAGCATGTTTCACAGGAGCCTATAATATATAACAAGTTTGTTAACTGTATTCTACAATATGTTTTCAGTTTCTCCTACAAAAACTTTTAAAATAATTCAGGTAATTTGTATTGCATTTATCTTTTAATGAAAATCACTTCATATTTCACAAGACATATTATTTTTTCATTTATTCAGAAGAAATTATCCTGAATTCAAGTAATTCACTATTAAATATGTACATATTCAAACACAAAAAAAACCAAAGACATATTTTGGTTGTTGTTCCTTTCCGGAATTCAAACCCTCACTATTATATAATTGGGAGAACAATCCCAGAATAATTCATAGAAACTCAGTGACTTACAGTTTTCATCCACAATGAAAGGATATTAATATTAACATACATTTGTTTAGCAACTGTAATATTTTAACATTTTCTTTGTGTTTCATTACGAGAGTTTTGAAGTAATGATTGTAAATTAATCCCGGCATTACATACGAGGATGGCCAGTTGTAGGTCCTCCCGAACACTGTGCAGTGCCCCGATGTCATCCCAGGTAACACCAGGGATGGTTGCAAACCCTTCCCTCTTGGCCGACGGTTGGACATACTTCAAGGCTTCCTGCATACAAAAAAATCATGACATAGTGACTCTGATGTACCATGTTCTATTACAATAGAATTTATGTATATCGAGTACCAAGGTGAAGGCTAGGGGACAGATCAAAATGTTTCCTTGAAATGGCAACTTACAGCCTTTTTTGCTGCATTTTGTTTTCCATGTTTCAATAGTATCAATGAAACAGCTATCAGTTTATTTTTATAATTCTGTAAAGATTAGTAAGATATTTCATTTACTATCTCAAAAAGAGATAAACTCAACTAAGTGGGACAGACTGGTTGAAACACAGTATAACAACACTGAGATAATGTAATGAAAAATAAAAAAAACAAAGAAGCAAAATGCACAAATGCTTGGGGACATGTGTATGCAATCCTGCAGAAACTGCTGAAGGAATAATTAATTTTGACCAGAGCATTCCTGGAAAATTTACCAGCATTACATTATGAACAACATTACTGTGCTTATTAACTCAGTAGTCAATATAAACATGGGAGACAAAACAGTACCATGAAGTCTTCCAACGTAATGTAGAGGTCCTGCATCTGCTGTGGACTCAGGGGAGGATGGTCCTTCAGCCAGCCCAACACTAAAACACAAAACGGCAGAGTTGAACACCTATAGCCATGTATATTATTACACTCTTTCATTTAATCAGCGAATAACATTTCACGATAAAAACAATGTACCTCTTTGTAATTCTGCGTCAGTGTCTTTCTGTGTGTCTGTTTCAGCTGTCACATCAGTGGTAGAATCGCTGAGGCCTATCTCCATGGAGATATCTGTTTGTCCCTCCTTAGAGATGTCACTGGGTGTGGTGTTACTGAGCGGGACCTGACTGGGTGTACCGGCCACTTGGTCACTGGTCTGCAGCTCCTGGAATACTCTTGGTGATAAAGAGGAAATATACAGTTGTAAATAGGACTGTAGATTTTTTGCCCTAGACAATAAACTTGGTATTCAGCAGTGAAAGTATCTGATTTCAACAAACTTTAGATATATATTAGTCCTCCTGTGTAGAGCAAAGTATCAACTAATTTGATATAAAGTACCAAACCTGTACTGATTACAATACAGAAATATCATGAAAGCTTTCCAATCTCCTCAAGAATGGTATTACTGTTCCTGCAGTTTACATGCACTTCTGGTACACACTGATAGATATTATGCATTTCATGATACATGTAGTTTGAATCATAAGTTTCATTTTTTTCAGAATCATGGTCCTATTTGTTATAACTTTTTTATTTGCACATCACATATATGTTATAATAAACTAGAATTTTGTTTTTGTGAACAAAAACATATGTCTCCCCTTATTAGCCAATAGACAAACTTCGGTATAAAAATATTAACAAAGGGCCATATCTCTATATTTAGTTGGGCATGAGACCCGAATTAAGAATACGACACTCCTACTTCCCAAGATACATTAAAACTATAGCAAATTTGGTCAATGTAGGTGAAATAATATGGAAGTTATGCCGTGGACAAACTTCGGTATTAAAAATAAACAAAGCACCATTACTCTGTATATAGTAGTGCACGAGGCCTAGTTCCAGTGCACTGCCCACCTTCTGTGAGTGATGCAGGTATACTTCAAGTTTGATTAAGATATCTTATATGGTTTAGAAGTAATGTCGAGGGCAAACTTCAGTATTAAAAATAAACAAAGGGTCATAACTCTGTATATAGTGGGGCACAAAACCTGATTTTAGTGCAGGAGATTCCACCTTCCCAAGATTCATAAATATGGTAAGTTTAGTCAACGTAGGTGAAATTACATGGAACTTATGCTCCGGACAAACTTTGGTATTAAAATTAAGTAAATGGCCATAACTCTGTATATAGTGAAGCACGAGATCTCATTCCAGTGCACTGCACACCTTCTGTGAGTGATGCAGATATACTTCAAGTTTGATCAAGATATCTTAAACGGTTTAAAATTAACGGGCTGGAATTTACTGAAAATGTTGCACTTATTTGACCTTTGACTTTGAGGTGAAGGTCACAGTGACCTAATTATAGTGCACTGCACATCGTCTGTGGGTGATGCATGCATACCTAAAGTTTCATCAAGAGTTATGGCCCGGACAAGTTGCGATTATAAGAACCAGAAGAAGAAGAAAAAGAAGAACCAGAAGAAGAACCAGTACAAATACAATATGTCTCCCTTCATTCGAAGGGGAGACATAATAAAGGCACATAAAAAAAATTGACAGATGTTTATGGGAGGTTAATAATATAAAGTCCATTTATGAAACAATTAAGGAATATGCTAATAGGTCACAAGTGTGATAACCTGTTTCTCAGATACCTGTTTACAGCTGTCATTGATGCCTCCCTAGCTAGGGACATGAGATCAGCACCAACATATCCAGGAGTGTTTTTAGCCAGATAGTCTAAATCAAAATTCTCTGTCAGCTTCAGTGTTCTACATAACACTAACAGTATTCTGTAAAAAAAAACATCAATATTACAATGATTCATATTGTGTAACATGTGTCATCAGCATTTTGATTTGTTTTTGGAAAAAAAAAATATGTGCAATTTTATCATGTCGGCATGTAATTTAAATAACCGTGATAACAAATACATATCACATCACATAGGTATTATAACCACATACATATAACATCACATAGGTATCATAACCACATACATAGGAAATCACATAGGTATTATAACCACATACATAGGAAATTGCTAAATATTTTAATCTAAGATGTTGAATTGATATGAAAACTAAAAAAAATCTGTCACATGCAAAGGCTGCTAAAATAGCAACACCAACTAGAACACTGACAGGTCAGCAAGGGCCCCACCATGTGCCTGACCATCCCCTCACCCCTAGTCTATTTTAGCAATAGTGACCTTGACCTTAAAAGCTTTATAAACCCTATACTCCATATCTAAACATTACAGTTTAGCACCATGTTAAATTCAAAATGATCAGTCTTCTGGATTCTGAAACAAGGTCGACCATACCCCTGTGATACCCCTATGGTCTATTTTAGTAAACAGTGACCTTGACTTTAAAAGATTTGTAAGCCCCTATTCCATACCATAATGTATCATCATGTCAAATTTCAAAAGGATCTGCCTTTTGAAATCTGATTCTTTGGAACCTCAAGTGTGGATGGACAGACAGGTGGGTATTATGATCACTATATTAAAAAAAATATGTATATAAAAACACAAAACAGATGAAGCTTTAATCCAATATCTATAGCATGAATTACCGTTTCCTGGCTTTTTCATCTGGAATACCAAGACATATTTCCCTGTCGAAGCGGCCAGCCCTTCTGAGAGCAGGATCTATTGAGTCAGGTCTGTTGGTGGCTCCTATCACTAGTACATGGGCACTGGCTTTACTGCTGAGATCTGGAGTAGAGAGATAGCTTAAATACAACATTCACTAGTACATGGGCAGTAACTTTTACTGCTGAGATCTGGAGTAGAGAGATAGCTTAAATACAACATTCACTAGTACATGGGCAGTAACTTTTACTGCTGAGATCTGGAGTAGAGAGAT